CTATTCTTGAGCCGTTTGAGATGTTGATTCTCGTGTTTTAGGCCGATTTCACGCTAGGTTGTGCTTATTTGTGATATTTCAGGTCCTAGTACGTGAATGAAGGTTTGGGAATGAGTTCGGGGTCAATTGGTCGAAGTTTGGACGTTTGGCGAGAAGCTGAGAAGCCACACGAGCATGCCTAAAAGCCACACGGCCGTGTAAGGGGACCCACGTGGCCGTGTGGAAATTCTAGGGAACTCACACGGGCAGTCTGGAAATCCACACGGCCGTGTGGTTGTGGCCGTGTAGGATGGCTGAAGGCACTTAATCGAAACACCGCGTTTTGCACAACTCACATGGGCAGCTGGGGAAGCCACACGGCCGTGTGGCCTGCCCGTGTGTTCGGTATTTTCTGGGTTTTAACCCAATTTCGAGCAAAAGGAGAGGGATTGGACTTTTCAGAGCAAAAATAGAGCCATAGAGAGAGAAAGTGCAAAGAACGCATCCTAGAAGTGATTTTGGAGCTGGGTTACATCAATCGAGCTTGGAGATCATCATAGGAGTGAAGATCATCATCCCAGAGCAGATTCTTCCCATTGTTATGAGTATGACTGCTTTGTATTTTGTTTTCCTCTCTCTCTCTCTATATAGAGTAGAACCCTTTCTCACTTGGGTATGAAGAACCCTAGTTCCATGTGTTAGGGATCATGATTGTAATGACTTGGGATTGCTATACTGTTTCGTTTTAATCGAATGATGCATAATTCATTGAATTAATTGAAGTCTGATCAGCTTTTCTTGGTTTCTGCTGCAACCTGAGATAGATAGAATCTGATTAGGTTGTTAGAGCTTCATCATTCGGTAGTAGTGGATTGGTTATACGAGAGTTAGTCAGTCTACTGCTTTGTACTGGAATCCAATTCCAGTAGTGGAGTTCTGTGCTTATTGCTTCAGCTTTCTATCCCGGTGAAGACTAGTCGTCTGCCGGGTAGTTAGACTGAGAGGGTTTGGTAAGCTTAAGAGATTCCAAGCTACTGTCGGATCTTCCGCAGTTTAATCAACAGTAAATCAACCCAGGGTAATTACAACTGAGACCTAACTAAGGAGCTAGGGGGACTCATTCCCGAGTGACTCTTCCTTTGCTTTAGAAAACCGAACCTATTCCTGCTTTCTTACTACTTTAGTTAAAACCACAATCAATCGACTTAGTTGGCTAGATAATAGATATTCACGGAGTAGGCAGTAGATTTAGACCCCGTTTTGATAATTAGAGCTTGCCACTTTACTGCATTCCCGGACTGCGATTACACTTGGTCGCAGTTTGGTGTTGTGTCGTAGCGTGTCACCAACGGAATGTGCTATGGTAGAAGTGAGTGATGGAGTTCTAGTAGGTATTGATAAAATGCACACTTGCTTATTTTTCGATATTGATCGGTATTTCGGTATATCCTGATCTCATTCCCATAATCCCAAATACCGAATAACACTTGAAATGCAATCTCAATCCCAATCCGGTAAAATAATACGTGTATTCGGTAATACCAAATATCAATAAATTCAATACGATATTCGACACATCACAAATACCAATATTAGACTTCCAGTTCTAATGAAAATAGTGAATTAAGTTTTTGTGAGATCCACAAACTCATCTTCATAAACTTCACTCCTATCACTTTTGATAAAAAAAAATTAGTTTTTGATAATTTAGGAAAAAATTTAATTCCTTTCTAACAAATCTTCTCTTCAAACAGAAAAAGTGGAAGTGGAATTCCTTTTCAAAGTTTTCCCCCTATAAAGGCATAAGGAATCGGCCCACCTTTCCATATCGAGGACTATCTCTTCCATATAGAGAAACCTTACCATGATACCATCATGTTAGTCAAATTTTCATATTCTTTGTTACTCAAGCTTTGCAGATCCATTTTATTAGGTTATATGTTGAAAAATGTACTGATGAAAACATATTATCACATTTCATTTTGGGGCCAACTTTCTCTTTCTTTTCTGGCACCCCCGTGCCACAGTTTGTGCATGGGCTTAGTTAAGGTGGAGATTTGTTGATATGATTTGAATCAGATAATATATTATGGAACCTGGATCGAAGACCCTGTAACTCTGCAGATAATGGCTCGTGAATTCTACATGGAGCTTTTCTCTGCAGATACTGGTGCGCTTGAGAGCTTTTATGCAGATTTTAAGGTGGTGGATGCTAATATACTCAACAGACTGTCTTATGCTCCCTCAATGGAAGAAATTTGAAGCATCATCAATAATATGGGGAGTCTGAAAGCCCCCGGTAAAGACGACTTCCATGCTATCTTTTACCAATGCTGTTGGAACACGATCCAGGTCGATCTCATGGACTTTATAGTGAGCTGCTTCAAAGACCCAGAAACAGTCCGATCTTGTAACTCGACTCTGCTCACCCTGCTTCCCAAGGTTGAAAGCCCGAGAAACATGACGCAATTCAGACCGATTGGGTTATGCAACGTCAGCTACAAGATCATAGCAAAGTGCCTTGTTGACCGTCTCAAGCCTCTAATGCTGAGCTAGTTTTTTGATAAGGGTAATATAGATTTCATTTTGTTGTCATTAAGGTACTACTTAAGATATTCGAACCTGGGTCCTCCAGGTTCTAGGTTAGTGGTATTACCACTAGGCTAAGCCCTCTAATGCCTGAGCTAGTTGATGAGAATCAGACCAGCTTTGCTCCTAAGCGTCATGTGACAAGCAACATCATTAATCTCCAGGAGATCATCCACACCATGAATCAAAAGAAGGGGACGAAGAGACTGATGGTGCTAAAAATAGATTTAGCAAAGGGTTATGACAGGATCAACTGGAGTTTCCTACGATATACTCTGGAGGCTGCGGGCTTCCCCCGGGACTTTATCTCTCTAGTCATGGCCTGCGTTACGACATCCAGCTTCCAGGTCATCTGGAATGGGAACTACACCGACGAATTCAAACCCATGCGCGGTCTTAGACAGGGATGTCATCTTTCTCCATATCTTTTCACTTTATGCATGGAACGCTTAAATCAAAATATCAAAAAATTTGTGAAGAGTGGAGATTGGAAACCGATCTGTCTCTCTAAGAATGGCCCACAGTTAACACATTTGTTTTTTGCAGACGATCTTGTGCTCCTAGCAGCGGCATATGTCAGTCAAACCAAGACAGTGATGGAGTACCGGGACCAATTCTGTTCAGCTTCTGGAGAAAAAATCAGGAAAGAGAAATCATGGGTCTTTTTTTCGAGGAATACTAAGGATAGTAATAAGAGTAGGCTGAGTGGTACAATGGGTATCCCCAGTACAACCAACCTTGGTAAATACTTGGGTGTTACTGTTATCCACGGACGCGTCACGAAGGAAACCTATAAGTATATCCTCGAGAACATAGACAAACGACTTACGAGCTGGAAAACTAAGAGCCTCTCGCTTTCAGGAAGGGTCACTTTGGCTACCTCCGTCCTCAATGCACTCCCAAACTATGCTATGAAAATTGTCGTCTTGTCCTATCATGTCTGCGACTTGATCGACAAGAAGATCAGGGGGTTTGTATGGGGTGGGGACAGTAGCAAGGCAAAGTCACACCTCGTCACATGGGAAATATAGGGGAAATACATTAAGCAAAATGATGATGGCAGTGTGTCTTTTAGCCAAAATCGGGTCTCAAGGCTTTGGAAGGGGATTAGGGAGGCGCTGTCCCTAGTAAAACAACACACCATCTGGGACATTAGGGCTTGAAGGAGTGTTAAATTCTAGACAGTCCAATGGATTGCAGTAGACATAGCTTTGAAGGATAATGTGTGCCATGACGGGCAGAACATTCAGTGGGACATTTCTGTTGCAGACATGGTGGATACCTCAGGTGAGTGGAATTCGGCAAGGGATCACATCATACCTCCCTGATTCAATGATATCTTTGCTTGCAGGTATAGATACGCCTCTTCAAGATGCGGTGGAGGATACCACTATATGGGGTTTGGAAGGCGACAGGCGATTTTGTCTCGGAAGTGCTTATAAGGCTGCGGTAGAATGGACAGGATCCAACCACATACGACACTTCCTTTGGCTATCTTTGCACGATCGCCTCGTGACAAATAGTGAAAGGAAAAGGAGGAAACTCTATAACAACGATGTGTGCGAATTATGCAAACAACAACCAGAGATGGCAGAGAACGTCATTCGAACATGCCCCTTAGCTAAACAGGTATGGCATTTCCTCGGCATTATTGATTCCCCTCTCACACATGGATTGAATTTCGCAGTCTGGATGGCGGAAAACATGAAAAGTGAAGAGATGGGAATGTTGTTTGGAGTTCCTGCTTGGGACCTGTGTAGAAGAAGAAATGATTGGATCTTCGAGTACAAGTTCCAGAAGGCGGACACTCTTGCGCGTCGGATTCAAATCTGGACTTCAACGATCAAGAACCAGACAAGATTTTCATGACAGCCTCCCCCTACAAACTGGATTGTGGTCAACTCGGACGGATCTGTTCTGCAGAATAATTCGGCAGTGGCAGCAGGTGGACTGCTTTGTAACCAACTTGGCAGATGTGTAGGAGTATATGTTGCAAACTTAGGAAGCTGCTCCATTACCAGAGCGGAGATGATCGGGTCACTTACAGGGCTACAAATGGCTTGGGATCAGGGTCACAGGAAAGTTCTTCTCCACCTAGACTCTACTGCAGCCATGGTCATTTTAGCAGGAAAAGGCTACGATAACAAGCGCTACCACAACCTTACCCGACGCTTTGAGGATCTTTTACAACGTAATTGGGAGGTGCAGATCTGCTATTCCTACCGCGAGTGCTACAAAGCGGCTGACTATTTGGCCAAGGCCCATGGATTCAGTTTAGGCAATCATTTGTTAGACACTTCTTATTCCAGTCTTAATTTCTGGATCATGTATGACAACATGGGTACTACCCAAGATCGTTTAATATAAGTTTCAGGCAGGGGCGCCCTTCTAGCGTCCTATTTTATATAAAAAAAAGATTATATGTCGATGATTGGAAGTCACGATTGTACAGACTTATACACATTTGGATTTATGTTCTGGGTCTGGTCTGTAAACTTATTTTTTACTAGATTTGATTAGGGTGATGCCGCATGGAGAAGTACTATATATACTTCTCAATCCCTTTGTAATCTGTAATCTCCTCAAATATAGTGAAACTGATTCTCTCCTATCCATGGACTAACACACATTGTGTTAGTGAATCACGTAAATCTCTGTGTTCTTTACTTTCTTGTATTGTCGATTATCTCGATTTTTTTTTCAAAATTTATAACACCAGAATTAAGTAGTCATGACTAAACACTTCAGATTGCTTTCATTTTGTGTAACTATGTGTATTGTCCAACGGGGAGGGCCTGATGCGGGGCAAGTTGCCCTGGGATCCGGGCACAATTCAGAGGGGGAGCAGAGCAGGAGGCGGGGACAATAACTGCAGCTGATCGGGTTTTGACTAAAGGAATTTCCCCTACCGAGGAAACGAGGAGGATATCGAGGAAAGTAGGCAGAAAAATTTCCCTAGTCTGAGACCCAAAATACCTGACTGGTATTTAGACCTGATTTTGGGTCTGGACGATGAGATTTTTGTGTGTTTAAGTTGTTTTTATTATTTTTAATTGTCAAAACCTATATAAAGGTCGAGACTCGGGTTTTAGCAAGGTTCTAAAAGGCGCTAGGCATAAAGGCAGGCGCTCGGCTCCTGACTTGCGCCTTGCTCAATTAGGCGTAGCCTAGGCGCGCCTAGGCGTTCAGAGCATAAATGGAAAATCTAGGCGCTCGGCTCCTGACTTGCGCATTGCTCAATTAGGCGCGCCTAGGCGTACAGATTATGTAGCAGTTTGGTGGGAAAAGATTCAACAACGTCGAATGATGAATCTTCACCCTGAACTTTCTACTTGGGCAAAACTCCGAGGCTTGATGCGTGATTGGTTTGTTCCTCCTTTCTATCAGAGAGATCTCGATGATGCCTTGTAGGGAATTCGGCAAGGAGCGTGCTTTGTTGATGAATACTTCAAGGAGATGGAACTGCTCATGATGAGAGCAGATGTGAGGGAAGACAACGAAGCCATGATGGCTTGATTTCTGCATGGGAACAGAGAAATCAAGAAAGAAGTAGAGTTTCGTCAGTTTGTGGAGTTGGAGGAAGCGGTGCATTTGGCCATGAAAGTAGAGAAGCAGCTGAGCTGAAGATGAGCTCGGGAAGAAGGTACCCCCCTTCACCCAAACCTGTTGCAGAGAACATTCCTGAGGCTTAACTGAATCATCCTAAGCAAGAAGGTGACAAGTCAGCTGCCAGGAACATAGCCCCGGTCATTCAAGCCAGGAATGAAGTCTCAACTGGAAGCATCCAATGCTTTAAGTGCTTTGGCCGAGGTTACAAGGCTAACCTTTGCCCCAACAAGAAGACTCTTGTCTTGCGAGATGGTGAGTACTTTTCTGAAAAGGAGTATGAAGAGAAGCCCATGGGAAATGGATTCGGCTCTGATGTTGATTCTGAAGATGACGATATGGATGAGCACTTTAAGGCTGAGAAACCTCCAGCAGGTAAACTTCTTGCAGTGAACCGCCGAGCTTTATCCATTGGAGCTTACACAGAGACGAAGCAGAGGGATAATCTTTTCCATTCTTGTTGCCTGGTCGACGGAAAGGTGTTATCCGTGGTGATCGACGGTGGTAGCTGCACCAATGTGATCAGTCTGGATACAGTCAAGAAGTTTGTATTGAGCACCATCAAGCATCCTCAACCATACACTCTGCATTGGTTGAACAACTATGGGAACATCAAAGTCAACAAGAAGGCCAAGGTTTGTTTACAGATTGGTGACTATGTGGATGAGATTTGGTGTGATGTTGCTCCAATGCAGGCTGCTCGTCTCCTATTCGGTCGTCTGTGGCAATACGATCGAGAGGACATTTATGATGGAAGACACAATAGCTACTGGTTCAAGAGAAGATCAACAGGTGAAGTCCAGGAAGATCAACAACAGGTGGCCATGAATTGGGCCAAGGAGATAGGAAGTGCGAGTGGCTCGGAGTCGGAGGACGAAAATGGAGCACATCTGATGGTTCGAATGAACATGTTGATTGCATTGAGGGGAATTCCAGTTGGAAATGCTATTAATGTGGTCTTTTACGGTAAAACACAAGCTTTGAGGGAAAAGCCTCTCCAACGTGGAGAGCCTCATCCAGGCCAAGTTGCATTGGGATCCGGGCACAATTCCAGAGGGGGAGGAGAGCAGGTGGCGGGGACAGCAACTGCAGCTAACCGGGTTTTGACTAAAGGAATTTCCTTGGTCTAAGACCCAAAAGCCCGACCGAGTATTTAGACTGGGTTTCGGGTCTGACCGACGGGATTTTTGTTATTTTTAATTGTCCATACCTATATAAAGGTTGAGACTCGGGTTTTAGGGTTAGTTTTAGCAGAATATTGATTTTTATCTGGGTTTTAAGCTTGAGCCTTGATCTTTTCTTTCTATCAATCAAGTTTTCCCCTTGATTGTGGTCAAGATTCTATCTTTTAATATTGATTGAGCCTTCTCCCGATTTGTGTTGAGATTGCACTTTCAATTCCATCCTATCCCAAACAAACAAAAACCCCTAAACAATCTTTCTATTGTTCGTTCTTGAAGCTGCGTACTTTAATAACTATGGGTGCAGGTTCCGTGCTCATATCAAATAATAATTAAAAAAGAAAAAACAAGAAAAACAAAAACATATGAAGAACAAAATGAAAAAAGATGGAGAGTGAGTAGTGATTAGTAGACTAACAAAGTCCACAACTCGGAAACCCAACAGTAGCTTCCCCAAATCAATCTGCCACTCTGCTAGTAAGACCCTATAACTATTTTATTATATTATTAAAGGATATATAATGATAATGATAATTATTATATAATAACTTTGATGTAGTTGCATGCTGCTTGCTGGTAGTCAATAAAGGGAAAAAAGCCTCCACCACCTCTGCGGAGTGAATAGGCATCTATATGTTGTCTTGTATCCACGTGACTCTCTATCATCTCTCTAGATTTTCAAATACTCCCACCTCTCTCTAAAACAGATTTTGGGTTTTGTGGGCTGCCGTTGACGCCTTAGGGTTGTTTCTTTCTTTCTTTTGCTTTGTTGCTCATTTCCGTTGTTCTATGCTTCCTTTTTGGGGCTTTTTCTCACCTCTTCTCAGAAGATTGTGCTTCTTCTTCTTCCTCATGTTTGATCTTCCTAGATAAGAACATTGAGATGTTTTGTTGGTGACAGAGGGGGTTTAGGTTTCTTCAATATGCTTTCTCCTTCGTATTTCTGATCCTCCTCCTTGATTCATCGCTTCGGCTTGGTGTTTCGAAGAAGACTGGGAATCCTATTGTGATCCTCTCGTGGTTTTAGCTTCATGGAACTCGAAGGTGAAGATCAAACAACAGAGTCTCTTGATCATTTTCCTCGATGATTTTAGTGGTTCATCGACGTGCATTTTCATCTTTTTAAGGTGGGTTTGCAGGTTTTCTCCGAGGTTGACTTGCTGGTCGACAACTCAGGGTTGACGGTTTCCTCCTTCAATGGTGTTTGATGCTTGTGACATCGCTGTTTTGGTGTGGCTTGCTTCCTCTGGGTGGTGGCTGCTCTTGCATTTGGAGTTTGATTATGATGCTAGGGTTTCCTCAGGCCATGTGTTGGACCTTTGCCTTTTGTGGTATTATGTTTGAGCCCTTTGTTGTTTGTTCTTTTCTAGGGGTTTTGGCCCATAATCTGTACAGTTCCTGGGTTCATTTAATGAATTGCCAATGCTTTAAAAAAAAGAAAGATTTGTTCTCTTGTTGAGATAAGTCTAAAGGCAGGCATACCGGGTAAACGTAGTCAGCCCGCAAGAAAGAACCTAGAACAAGAAACAAAAACACGTGCTTAGTAAAAGGCTAAAGCTTTCTAGCTAGGTGTTGATATAGTTTCCAGATATTTCAGAGTCAAAAACAGGCAAAGCAATAATGGAAGTGAGAAGTAAGTGGAAGGGATTTAATTTGGTATGGAAATGGAATAGCAGTGGTTTTAGGGAGGGAGATTGCGGTTTTCTGTCGGGTTGGGATGAAAATTACCAAGTTGGAAAACATGGGCGATGAGATTTGGGCGGAAAAATCTTAAAATACACATGTTTTTAAAAAAAAGTTCTCAAAATACACACGTTTTATGAAAAATTCTCAATCTACAAATGTTTGGGTATCACCGCGCCCGTCAACCGCGGTGAATGCATTCATCGCGGAAGGCGAAAGCGTTGAATGCATCACCGCGGTTGATGGCCGCGGTGAAGGCTTCACCGCTGTTGCTGGCAGCGGTGAAGGCCCGAGCTAAGGTTGAAACTTCAAACGAACGTAACTTTGCGCTCGATTATCCGATAGTAACGAAATTGTTTTTGATTCCGCATAACTTGTCAAGATCTTTCAATCTGCAACCCTACTTCATCCTCAAAAAATATTGTTTGCTACCCCTAACGATGAATTTTTCGTGTTTGCCAAACTTTGGAAGGCCATAACTTTGTGCTGTTCAATGCGAACGTCATAATTTTTTTTTAATGTGCATAACTTTTTAATAACTACAACTTTTACTAGAAAATAATTTTCAAAACAAGACATATTTTTTGGTATACGACATTTTGGGAATAACTTTGTCTTTACTTTTCACAACATACATTCCAAAATTATGGTTATGATCAAAGTTGTATTCTTTAAAAAGTTATGCGGAATGGAAATATTTTTCATGACATTCTGATTGCGGAGCAGCATGTTATGGTCTTCCAAAGTTTGTCGAAATCGAAAAATTGCTCATTTTGGATGTAGACTCAATGCAGATTGAAAGATCTTGTAAAGTTATGCGGAATCAAAATTTATTTTGCGACGATCAGATAACCGAGCGCAAAGTTACGTTCGTTTAAAGTTTCATCCTTATGCCAGGCCTTCACCGCAGCCGTCAACCACGGTGATGCATTCACCGCTTTAGTCTGCCCCGATGAATGTATTCACCGCAGTTGACGGCCGCCGTGATGCCCAAACATGTGTAGATTGGAAAATTTTCATAAAACGTGTGTATTTTGGGATTTTTTTCCAAGATTTGGGGAGTAGAGTCTAACATTACAAACAGGATTTAGTCGGTGCATCGGGTGGTGTCATTGTCAGCACTGCGTACTTTCTCGTCACTTTCCTATAACCACAGACTCTCTTTTTATGGCAATTTCACACAGACACGTTTTGAAGTGGCGAATAAATTATTTCTCTTCATTTGAAAAAGTTCAACATATGACGCTCATCAACAACACACGCTTTCCTCATTCTACTTGCTGATGCGACAGGAATCGTACTATCAGCCACTACGACTAAAAGTCAAGAGTGCTCAATGTTATCTGGGTTCCAGTTATGGACCTGGTTGTAACCGCTTTTCCTTTACCAGATTGGATTAGGGTTAGACCTAGGAGAAGTACTATAAATACTTCTCATACTCCTCGGTAATATGTATCTCCTCGAAGTATAGTGAAACTGGCTCTCTTCTGCCCATGGACTAGCTAACACACATTGCGTTAGTGAACCACGTAAATCGTGTGTGTGTGTTTGCATTTTCATTTCTTGCATTGTCGAATCCTCTTATTTCCCGATCAGCAGAAAACAATCGTGACAAGTGGTATCAGAGCGCCGGTTGGAAATCGGGCTAGGGTTTCGATTATGAAGAATGACGTCGGTGAACATGAAGATCGATAAGTTCACTGAGAAGAACAGCTTCGCTATATGGCAGATCAAGATGCAGGCTTTATTGAAACAGTAAGGGTTGTGGGGGCCGCTATACATGACTAAGTCGCTGCTGGCATATCAAAATGGCAGGCTTCACTATTATCATTGAAGTCGCTGCTGAGAAGATTGTCGCGGACTTGTTGTTGAAGCTGGAGAGTCTATACATGACTAAGTCTTTAACCAACAAGCTGCATCTAAAGCAACGGTTGTTCAGTTTGAGGATGCAAGAAGGTACTACTACAAAAAAGTAGCTTTGCCGAGAGAGCAAAACTATCGTTATAGGCCATAAAACAGCCGACATAAGTAATTACCGACGAGCCCCCCCTCCCCCCGGGGTTTCTTTCCAACCGTTAAAAGCTATTTTTCACGGCTAGATTTGTAAACATTACCGACGAGCTCCCGATCATTGAAGGATAATTAAAAGTCGCATTTGACTATTATCATAGCTCAATAGCGATGGGATATGACTCCCTGGGCAACACCTCTAATGATGAAAAATTCCCGTCATTAAAATTCATTTCCTGGATTAGAGACCACAATAATTTCTAGCTATTATTATTAGATTTTATTTTTCCTTATTAGATATTGATTATTAAAATTCATTTTGCTGAAATATTCTGACAGTCAAAATTATTAGAACAACAACACATTCAAATAGTAGTGCTAAAGTCAAGATCAACATTGATTCAACTATATATGATATGACGCAAAAGTATGTAGTCAACTAAGTTTGATATACACTGCCAACGACTTTACAAAATGATGGACATGGAATTTTACAAAATATGCAACCCCCATCAGTCAGCTTCCAGATTGTTTGGAGCTTAATATCAATAAAACATCAAACATGCATCTTGAATGCTGATGACCGCTTATCCGTTTAGTCTTCTTCCAATAGACAGTGACACTGTTGATGAATGCTGATTATCTCTTATCCACTTAACTTGCATAGCGGTATTAAAGTGAGGAATTGGAAATGCAAAAGCATACAAATTGAGAAAACAACACCATTTTCATAGAAAGGCTCCTACTACCAAAACCACTAACAAAATTATTGACATTTAAACTAACAAAATTATTATTATATATAAATTTGAAGTAGAGTTACTATTGCGTAAAAAATTGTTACTTTAGTCACTTTATACATTTTATATTTTAATACCTCAAATTTATACATTTTATATCTAAAATTTATGAGATTTCTGTAACTACAATTTTTAAAATTTACTATATATAAATTTAAAGTAGAGTTATTGTTGCGTAATAAATTACTATTTTTGTCACTTTATACATTTTACATTTGATACCCAAATTTTAATTTTAATGTAAAATCATTGAACAATTATGTTTTGATATCTAAATTTTATGAGATTTCCGTACCTACAATTTTTAAAATTTAAAGTTGAAGTAGAGTTAATGTTGCATAACAAATTACAACTTAGTCACTTTTTACATTTTACATTTTAATATCTCAAATTTAATTTTAATGTAAAATCATTGAAAAATTATGTCAAAAGTATCTAAATTTTACGAGAAGATTCGACCATTTTATATTTGCTCATTACATGAAACATTAAATAAATGATAAAAGAGAGACAACTCTAAAATATTGCAAGAGCGAATTTGTAAACTCATTTAGTACATTTACGGGGTACTAAACAAACTTCTACTAACTACATATAACAAAATATGTTATCTACTTATGCAAGTGTCAATAAATTCCTACGGTGAAAAGGGTTAACTGTTGTATTAACGACCAACCAAAAGAACTGGTCAAAACCTTTCCATCATCTACTTTCTCTTCGTTTCATTTTTCACTTGCCATCCATGACCTTTCTTTATTTCTTTCTTTGCCGTCTTCATTTAAGCCTAATTAGTATACTACTTTTTATGTATTTTAATCACAAGTATGAATAGGTCCATACACAACTCACCAACAGTCTAGAGAACTAATAATTGAACAATGAACCACTAACTTTTTCAACTCAATATCGAGTCCAATTAAACATAAATATATTTGGTTATTACTTATTAGAAAGTCATCATTTTCTACTATGAGATTTGAAGGCGTGAAATTTTAAGCAAGTTCCAGTTTGTATTCTTTTTGCTTCGCTCTAGAGTTTTTCTTTTTCACCCGGGCTATAATTTTCAACAATTATACATGGAATGCTTGGTTAAGTATCTACACATATCAAATAAATAGTTTCCACTTTTCTATAGAAAAGTAAATAATTATCATCTTAAATACATCACCATAAAAGTAATTAAGTCTCAACTATGCAAATTATAGTTCTGTACCTAAAGTCAATAGATCCTTAGATTTATAACCTAAATTTATTTATTTGGCATATAAGTCCTCAAATATTGATGAAACATTATATTTTAGTACCTAATTTTTTGTGTATTACATATTGGTACCTAAACTTTTGAAGCTATACAAATAGGTCTAATTTTTGTATGTATATTTAAAATACTTTCGAATAAATGGGTATCCATACCCAACTCATACACGTTTAGATTATGGAAGTAAATATTTTTAATTATATTTTAACAGATTTCATACAAAATTAAGTATTAGAAAAAAGACAAAATCAACGACAAATAAACCACAAGATAATTATTTTTCAATCCAATTACCTATAAGCGGAATCGACGGGCTGAAGTTTAGACTCCTAACCGCAGCAAACCGCGACAACCATTCTAGTTTATATTTAAACTCCATAACTCGCCTTTTCCTACTTGCGTATCAGAAATCCATGCATAAAGCATTTGGTTGAGTAGTTATAAACAAAAACAAACACGTTCAGTACCTGGCTAGATGGAATTCTGGATGTTGTACACAAGGAAAGGTTGTTCCTTGTTGAGCCATTACCATTTCCCTCAAAATCCTCAGCTCGAAGTTCAAATTAGCATCCATCGATCGTATCCAGATGGAGTTGTAAAGCAACCTTTTAAACGCAAGACATATACTTCTTGTAGTTGTATCAATAAAGCAAATCATGAAAACTCAGCTCGAAGTAAAAAATCCTCAGCTCGAAGTAAATAAATAGGGCAGCAGCCCTTATAAACGCATGACATGCTACTTCTTGTAAGTTGTATTAATAAAGCAAATCATGAAAACTCAAAGCTGTAACCCAAGCAAAAAGTAAACAGAACATGTGAAAAAGCTTTGAAAGAGCCTAACATCTATCTATCTATCTATACATAATATTATAGCAATTCAAAAGTAGTTTGTTGCCACATAAGCATTTGGAGAATTTACAAGGTGCCATGGTGGACAATTTTTTTACAAACAAAAAAGTTAGTTAATGATCATTTAATGTAGAGCTATCTATCTTTTTTTAATATTTTCTTTTTATTTTAATGATCATTTATGTAGCTATCTCTATCTTCTTTTAATGTTTTCTTTTTTATTCAATAATTGTATTTTCCAATATATATGTGTAGCAGTAGTATACTTATGTTTGGAGAGTGACATATATTATAATGCTTCAAAAAATATATTTGATTAAATCTGATCAATTAATTTTTCTTTTTCTTTTTATTAGAACTTAATATATGTTATATTTCGATAGAAAATAAATTAAACACACAGATAAGTAATAAAAAATTAAAAAAAAATAATGAAAGAAGTTTAGATAATCAATATTTAATAATCAATTGAATTTGAAAAACCAACTATATAATTTTATGTTTTGGTTATCAAACGCTGTCTTTTTCTAATATTTATATCTATCAACGAAAACATGTATTAAATAGCAAAATGCTTCAAAAGTTGTTTTTTCATTTTGATAGAAAATTGACGAAGCCATAATATAGTACCTGATTGTACAAATGTAGACGATAAAGAAAGACAATGTTTCTTCTCTCTTATAATGCATGCTTCCATACCTTATTTTCTCTTACATTTGTTCATACTTCCCCTTATTTTTCTTAACAGTTTACATATTTCGGTCAAACTAAGGTGTTAATTACACTTAAAAATACATTAAACTCTCTCTCTCTCTCTCTCTATATATATATATATATATATATATATATAAAGAGTTTAATTATAAACAAAAATCAATGGTCATGATTCGTTAAAATCTATGAAACAAATTACATGCACAATCTTAGGGGTTAAGCTCTATGATTAAGATAACTAAGACCTAGGGTTCACTCATCAAGGGTTAGGGTATAGTATCATGCCCACAAATCCGGTTAATGCGCAGTCCAGATATCATTTTCTTACTTAGAGTATAAGATCATGCTTAGATATTGACAATAAATGTGGCATTACACCAACAAAATGAAGATATTAGTATAAGTAGTGGATTTTTTTATCTAAAAAAAACACCAAAGATAAATAAATTTTAGCAAATGCATATTTGATAAGTTAGAAAATTATACAACAATGGACCATGTTAAGATTAGAACCCTCGACAGTGTGTGAGTATCTTGGACCGATTCTAAACCAACATTTAAACAACGATCATGAGTTGAGGGTGAGTCTATATTAAACTTCAGGAATTAACAATTGGTACATATTGTATAAGATATTAAATTAAGTGTCTTGATAGACAAATATGATCTTACACTAAGACAGTAAAATTTCAATTGGGATGACCAAATCTATGTAATATTGAGAGTCTTGGTACATATTAAGTTGTCGTCATCTAAGCAACATCATTGGTTGAGAGTTCCTCCAAACTCGACATTCATTGAATGACATATATTGTAAAAATTGAGTATCGTTATTGACAAATCTTGACATAAGATTCTATAAATTAAAAATTGAGTATCGTTTAGAATTTTTAATTTATAGACGCACCGCATACTCACCAAGAAATGCAAATGTAAAAAATTTAGATGATCCAAAATAGTTTAAACATATAGATAAATTGATTAATGTAAATGGTAAAATTAAACTCACCGGCCAACAGGCCGGGTAAAAAGCTAGTTACTATATATAAACATCAAGCACGGTTACTGTTGCCTAAAAGTGCCTGTTAATTCTGGCAAAACCTTGGTTAATTGGGCTTAAAATATGGACTTTGATGTCCTAATGGGTTGGGCTAAAAAACCGAGCTTTGCTTATTCTACAGGTTGGACTTAACCCTCCAACTTATAAATACATAGTAGGATTAACTATTAAGATATGAAATTTTGCTCGGCTATCTTTTAACGGAGAGGAAATTTTGATGGAGTATCTTTTAGTTTTCCTCTTATTTTTCGTATTTTTCTTTTTCTATATCAAAATTTATTTTGTATTTATGGCGTCTATTTAGTTGCGCACTTTGAATATTAAAAATAATAAATAATGTTGCCTCTAATTAGAGGTGGCAAATGGATTGAATCTATAGATGGGTTGATCCATAGATCATATGGATTTTGATCAAATGGATTAGTGGATTAATGGATTTGATTATATCCGACATCTAAATAATAGAACTATTATAGAACTTTTAAAAAGTTTAGATACTAAAATGTCATAATAAAAAATTTAAGCTATCAAAATATAATTTTTCAATGATGTTTTACGTAAAAAAATTAAAACTTAGATATCAAAATTTAAATTTAAAAAATATAATTACCAAATATCCATGAATCTACCAATCCAATTGGATTTAAATGGATTCGTTTCGTTGGATATTTAAGTGGATGAATTCTATTGGATTGAAAATGTTCACCTCTACCTCTAATGGTAGATCGTTACAATCGAAATATAATTGAATTCATGGTTAATTAATTTTTTCTTAATTCCTATATATATTTTATCGAGAAATTCATAATTAATGGAGGAAAATAGTTCATCTCAATCCCGCAGTGGAGCGAGGGCGAGCATATCTAGTATAACGTTAAATCATCAAAAAAAGAATCGATAGCATACAAAAATAACAGTAGCAAATCTGCATAGCAGAGCACCTAGATTGTAGCCAAACTGCAGAAGCACACCATCGAGGAAATCTCTTAATCCAATTACTTCATGAATCATGACTACCACATCACAATCTTAACTGATCATTTAAATTGAAATCCTACTTGTCCAATTCCACATGCTATTTTCTACAAGGTGTACATGGATTCTTTCACAAAGTGTGAAGATATTTTGAATGTTTTCCCAACATATTCCACATCTAGTATCAAAAGTACCACTGGCCTCAATGCAGTTCAAAACACGATTCAATCTAAAAGTGAAAAAGGGGTAAAATCGTAAAACGTATTATCAAAGCGTAAAAGCGTAAGTTTTTGACGCATATGGTAATTAAAATATCTAAAAAATCTATTAAATACGACATATACTATGCAAAATATGAGTGCACATAATTTAGATGAGTTAATAAATACCTGCACTTCATTTCTAAAGTAGAGCAACTCATAGTACCTTAACAATAAATTCATAAAATAGTTCTTAACAATAAGCCCCCTTCTCATCTATGCTAATGAATTTGGAAAAGGTCTAACTAGTGAATTAGATTACTCTCTATTGAAGAGGAGAATGCATCCAAGTATTTGGTATGCATATATAAATCTCAAATGTACCATATCGTTGGTGATTTACCTTTCAAATATATTTTTTATAATTAATTTCATGAATAGAATACCCATTTAGTGAAATAGAAGCGTAAAAGAGTAAAGCGTTTTGGTGAACTAGAAGCGTAAAAGCGTAAGCTTTTAACCTTTAAATGCAATTTAGGGGTCGTTTGGAAGTTGCGATTGTTTTGTTGAGATTGTCATTATGCATGTATGGTTTACAATGCATCGTTTTTTTATTTTTTTTAGCAGAAACAATACATGGATTGTTTCTGTGATGTGACAGAAACTATCAATCATTTTGAGTGATTGTTATATCTCAACTTTTAGTTGTGATTGTTGAGATAGTTGAGTTGAGATTGTTTTGTCTCAGCTTTTAGCTGATGCGACATACACAATCACACATACCAAACGTTGTATTCTACAATGCATCAAATTCGACAATACATGTATAATATTATACATGCATTCTCAACAATACATCTACTTAACAATCGCAACTTCCAATCGCAACAATACATCTATTTAGTCCGATTTTATACACTAACGATTTTGTATGGCAACGAAATCATTTTTGGTGAGCTAGAAGCGTAAAAGCGTAAGCTTTTAGGTTTTAAAGAGCAATTTAGTCCGATTTTATACACTAACAATTTTGCATGGAAACGAAAGCATTTTGGTGATCCAGAAGCGTAATATCATAAGTTGTAAAACGCGATTTTAACTGCATTGATTGCCTCACAAATAAACCCTAAACAAATGAGAACCAGTGATTAGGTCAATTCCCAAAAATTTATTCCTTTCCAAAAAGTTATCCCTAAAGTTGACTAATGAAACCAACACTCAAATAAATCCAGAAAGAGTTCCATACACATAAATATAGGATTCAGGGCGCTACGATTCCAAAATTTCAACAGTGAAATGTCATATTAATAATTGAAATCCAAAAGTTTGACAAACTTACCCATCGATTATCTATTACAGCCCAAATATCGATACCTTTTCGTTATCTGAAGAGCAGCACCCAGCGCTAGCAGAGATCTTATCTTCAATTGAGTTCACAACTGACGAATCCTTCAAACAAACTGAGAATCCTCTATCCCTCCTGCTCTATCCGCGAGAAACATGACTAGCGTCACCGCCGTTGTCGATGTTGGCGCCATCGACGTTGGCGTCAATGCTAGGGATTGAGAGAGAACTCAAACCCTTGTGGTTTAAGAGAAAATAACCCATTAGAAAGAAACGCTTAAGGGTTGTCTGGATTAGGAAATGTGGGAAGGATTTTCCCACAATCCCTAGCCATAAGGGATTTGGTCACAATTCTTTGTTTGGATAGACAAATAAAAATGAGAGATTAGAGAGATTAGGGATTTCGAAAATCCTGTTATTAGTAAATTTAAAATAACTGATGGACCTCAGGTTTTTTAAAATCTTTGCTCATTTTTCCCTAACCTTCCCAATATATCCTTCCTTATTTTTTGTTATTCCTTTCTTGACCTCCTCCTTTATTGATTGACGACCCACCAGCCACCACTTCCCATCTCTCTTTTCCATCTGCATCTCTTTCTTTCCTCCCGATACGATAACTGCAAGCAAATAAAAAAACCTAGCAACGTCGGCGATTGCAGCAGAGATAAACCTCGCGACGTCGGCGACAACAGCAGAATTTTACCAGCTCCGATCTACAGTGACGTCGGCGTTCTACTTGAAGTGCGTCCGATCTCCATCTTCGATCTCACCAGCTTCGCGTGGGATGTGTGCTTCGCGCGCGCAAGGATAACATGGTGGTGAAATTCAGGGCTCGGCTTCCACGTTCGTCCTCCCTTCATCCTTTCCCTCCCTATGCTTGGACCGTTCTGGGTCGGGGGCCCTGTATTCTGGGTTTATGTGAATTAAGAGTTTGGGTTGAGGTGCGAATGATCTTCTTCCTCATTTTGTTTGAATATAAGAAACTAGGGTTCTGTGTTGGTGTGAACTGATGAATCTTCTTCCTCATTCTGTTTGATTAAAGGAAACTAGGGGTCTTGGTTTGGGTACGATTTGATTCGTTTTCTTCCACATTTAAATTAGTGTGTTTGGCCTGGCTGGGTGTCTTTCCCTCTTTCAATGCCTTCCTTATGTCTGCATCCTTCCAAACTGCATACTTCTGCTTTTGTTCAAGCTGCAAGATCCAGCAGACGTTTCCTGTAATTGTAAATAAATTAATAGACCTGTCATAAGGATGGTAGGCAACACAGAATTTCAAAAACTCACTTCAACTTGTAGAGGCCCAAACTGATTAATAATCTCAAAGAAAATGCTCTCTGATTATTTAACTAGTATGAAATTAGTGTGTTTGGGCAGTCTAGTTTGTCTGGGTAGGCTAGTTTGTTTTGGGTACAGAGCTTGCTTCAATGATGCCATCTTTCTTCCACCACCATGTTTTGGAGTTATATATACAAAGTGAAATGCATTCAGTCTGCAGCAGAGAGAGCTCTCTCTCACTCTAACTCTCCATTTCTGAGCTTAAAATAAGCAAAACCCTCCTTAAACCCCTACAACCTAATAGCCCTGCAAATTCCCAGAAATGGTGTGTGGTCTTCAGTAGTTGCATTTCAACGTACTACATTCTCAATAATAAGTATCACTTGATGTTGTCTTACTGAGTTGAGTGAATGGATGGTTTGTGTACTGATTTGAGTGAATGTTATGATTTGATATGAATGGGTGGTGTGGTGTACTGGATGGTTTTTTAAATTTGGAATTCAGGAATTTCTTTATGTTGAATTGATCGTTTGATGTACTTATTTAACTCGTTTGAAATTTTAATTTCAAAAGGATGTCACGGCTGTCAAGGATGTCTTCAATGGAAAGACGCAAGCTGATTGCGGCAATTAGTGCATTTTGGAATCTCATTGTAATATATGTCGAGTTAGGGATGGAAGTAATGAAATTAACAAAGCTATTGCTTGTAAATCCTAGACTTGGTAGACAACCCTTAGATGGTTACGCAATAAGACACTATGATTGACAACGAGTCATTTACAAATGTACCAAAATGAGTGATACCGAAAGCCATAGGAAGATCAGGATGAACCGTACATTATTCACAAAGTTGTGTGACCTTCTAGCTGCTGAAGGTGGTTTGAAAAGAACAAGAAACATAGAAATAGATGAGATGGTTCTCACGTTCCTCTTAACTATTTCACATAGTGACAAAAATAGGAGTTTCGAAGTAGATTTGTGTTGTTCCACAGAAACCATTTATCGGACCTTTCACCGGGTGTTGCGGTCAATCCTTAGACTCAACAAGCTTCTAATGAAGAAGGCTGAACCAATTCCAGCTGATTGCAGTAATAAAAGATGGAAGTATTTTAAGGTTTGCCAACTAAAAACTGTTCTTATAATCTTTCTTATGGAGCAGCTTGTCAAAATGTGTTGTGTAACATTTTTTTCTTCTTCTTCATTGATATAGAACTGTTTGGGAGCTCTTGATGGGACCCATATAAATGTTGGACCACTAAAGGAAGAACGAACTAGGTATCGAGATAGGTTAGGCCATCTTACAATGAATTGTTTGGGAGTTTGTACTCCCAACTTAGAATTCATCTACTGTCTGTCTTGCTGGATGGGAAGGGTCTGCCTATGATTCAAGGGTCTTGAATGATGCCTTGAACAGGCCAAATGGCCTTGTTGTGCCAGAAGGTAATTGTATTACAATCAATAAAACTAATTAGTATATGCGTCAAACTTGATTCAAGGGTTTAGGAAATCTAATTCAGAATATTTTTTTTGGTTTAGGGTGTTATTATCTTTGTGATTCTGGCTATGCTAATAGCCCCGGATTTTTGACCCCCGCTTCGGGGTCCAAGATACCATATTGATGAAACAAGGGGACATCTGCCGCAAACAGCCGAAGCATACTATAATTAGAGACATGCTCAAGCTAGAAACGTAATAGAAAGAATCTTTGGAGTGTTAAAAATTAGATGGGCAATCCTTAGGGAGTCAACTTAGTTTTCTGTACCTGTTGTAGCTCGAATTGTGCTAGCTTGTTGCATTCTGCACAATTTTATAAAGAAAGAACATGGTGTCGATATATATGAAAGAACATTTCGAGACCAAGACATACAACAACATGGATCGAATGAAGTTGATATGGTCGGAATATCCAGCACTCAACCAACTGAAGCGTGGAATCAGTTTAGGACTGATTTAGTCTCGGAGATGTGGCAAACTCGACCTGCTAGATTTCGAGCTTCTTCTTGAGTTTGATTCGTTGTTGTTTGGTTGTATGGCTGTTTTCATTTAATGTTGAGGACCTGTTCAGTTGTAATGGTTAAGACATGTTCAATTGTAATTCAGGGTATTTATTTTGACAAGTAGGCAGAATTAATGTTAAGACCTGTTCAGTTGTTCTTACTGACGTGTCTTTGTTCCATGTCTTTATAATCAATCATGTTGTTGCTGCTGAAATACATGCTGCTTGTTCTTGTTCTTGCTACTGAAATATATGATGAAATACATGTTGCTTATTCTTACAACAGTTACAACTAGTCACAATCATGTTTAGTCTCGATCAAATAAGGAGTGTGATGTGTCAACTTTATGTGCTGAATACTTATGTTAGGACTAGTTTAGAAATCGGAAGCTCTCTGTTTCTTTCTTTCCTTCCTTGTAGGCTGCTGCTGGAAGAATAATCTACTTACATTCTAGGATTGAACTCAACAAACAATGGTAATCGGTCACTATGATTAGGAGGTCTTCTTGCATTTTAGGGTACCTGGATTTAGACCTGCTGGCTGTAGCACCAACACAGTTAGGGTACCTGAAGTGAGATAGACAAAGTGGTCAATTACTAGGGGATCACTATTTTATTTCTATGAGTAGAATGGGTAAGTTTCTATATAATGTATATGACTGTTAGGCAATTGGGCTCAGGAATGCAGCTGATTTCAGCATGTCCACAAGCAACCCTTCTGAGAATGATCCCAATGCTATCAAAGTGCCCTGCCATCATCATCAATACATAAGAAAAAAAATATTCCAGACTTGATTTTGAGCAGTCTTCTCATTAGTTCTGCACTCTTTTGTATTCTTCTGTTTTGTAGCATGGGAAAGAGAAAACAATGTGATGAGGATATGGATGGTGCTTGCTCTAAGACATATACGTAATGGAAAGAGGAACTAGACAAGCCATTTGTTGACTGTATTCTGGAGCTAGTACAGAAGGGGCAGATCATTGACGGCAACTGCAAGAATGGGGCTTATAAGCAGTTAAAGAAGCTGTTGCAGGAAAGAGTGCCGGGATGTAGGGTCAAGGCATATCCTAACATTGAAGGAAGGTTCAAAAAAATGAAGAAGAGATGGCATGAAATAACATTTATGAGAAAACAAAGTGGTTGGGGATGGGACGAGGTCAATAAATGCATTGTATGTCCCGAGGGATCTTGGGATGAGTTTGAGAAGGTAAATTACAGCATGATCTTTATTTTTCTGTCCTATAAACTTCTCCTTTTCTAATATAAGCTGCCATTTTCTTTCTATGTATATTGTTGTCTTGCAGAAGCACACAAGCTGCAGAGGGTTGAACAAGAAAAGATTTCTCGTCTACGATGACTTAGCACCGATTTTTTGCAAAGCGCGTGCAAGTGGTGAGCATGGGGTCGACACCAATGTTGTTGACGCTATCGATTTAGAGGATGACGAAACTGCACCTGTCTGAAATGAAGAAATGGATGATGTGTTGATGGAGGAAATACAAGCAGAAATGGCAGCACAGAATAATCAATCTGCCAGTGTTACTGCTTCAACCAATGGTGCTCTAATTAAGAAGAGAAAGAAAAGTAAGACAATCGATGAGCACCTCGCCAACTCTACTGAGGAAATGAGAGAACTTCAACCACTAATTAAGTAATCAGTTGACACTATTGTAAGAGCACTCGGGGAGAGCGATGATCTCATTAGCAAGAGATTGAATCTGCTGAGGAAGCTGGAAGAACTTGGAGGCCTCACAACAACTGATGTCATCACTGCATTGCGGAAGCTCTCTAACAATGATAGGGACCTGGTGACATTCTATTCGTTGGAGACGGATGAATATAAGATGGCTTTTGTTAGAGGATTGCTTGGATAAAGGCGAATGATGGAATTTTTCTATATTAATGTGCTTATGAATCAAACTTTGAAGGTTGGTCTTCATGGTTGTAATCCCAGCTTGTGTGTTGAGCTTTTTTGGGATATACAGTATGTTTCATGTTTTGTTGAAAGATGGCGTTTGGTAGGGAAGTCAAAGTGCATTTGCAAGACTTGTTATTGTGGGTTTGATTACTTTGTTGATGTTGTGGAAAATTCTATATGCAGCAGCCAAACAATATGCAAATGTCATTGTGGAATCCAGAATTTTCATTCTTCAAATTGTGTATATGATTCCTGTGTACATAATCGTTATTGGTTATGTTGTCTTGTTTCTGGAGACAGGTATGGTTCTACTAAGAACAAAGCAGCAAGATGCTTAACATACAGAAACCATCTAACCTGCATCATAGACTCTTAACATACAGAAGCTTGACATACAACAAGAAACAAGAAGCAATCAAGTCCTTCTTTTCGATTTCGACCCCTCCATGTTGGGTCTATGTTGGGTCTATTCTAGGAGCCAGGAGTGCAGAGTTTAGGAAACTTTTCAGCCTTTGTAACTTATTGAGGAATCAGAACAATGATGATTAGAAGCTGTAAGAAGATGCTACATCACTCCTCCTACATTTCCTCTCGACGGACTATGACGATTACAACAAGCTTTTCTACAGAGGCAAGACTCAGTAACTCCTGAAGAATGTGGTCCTGTGATCAGAACAATACTTTCTCCCTTACTTCTTCTTATTGCCCTGTTTTAGGATGGAACTAGACAAATTGTTCCCTGATGACAAAACCCACGACTCAATTTGGGGAGGTCTTCAACAGCCAAGAACGGAGAGGAGGGAATAGAGAAGCTCTCAGCAACTACACTCCCCCTTCTCCTCCACGATCTTCGCTGGGATCCTCATTTCCGCCTCCTCCGAGATTCAAGAAACCCGCTGCTTCTGCGCAACCCAATAATCATCCACTCTGGTCACACTCGGAGCCTGCTCCAAATCTTCCCGGACATCGTTGGCCCCGGTGATGGCGATGGCGAATGGGACTGTGAGTCTGATCCCCGGCGGGACCGTCTCCGGCAACATCCTCTATCGCCGCGTTCGAGTACATCCATTCCCTGGTCGCATCCATCACTGAAGAGAGGGATTAAAAGTGTCTGCAAAGAAGAGAGTGAACAGGGCAAAATAGTAATTTTAGGTTTGTCATTAAAATCGAAATTGCTCATTAAAAAATTTTGGATCCTTCATCAAACAAGTGATTTGATTCAATTTCCTTGTTTAAATTACCTGGATTTTTAAGTGCTGAATTTGGATACAAATTCCACATAAATCCCTCAAATCAAAATGCTTAATCCAAACGACCGCTAAAGGATACCCAATTTTACTTGAGGAAATTTCCGAAAAGTAAAGCCCGCCAAGTTTAGCCGCTCTTTTCTTATCAATTTTTGGCTTTCATATTTTCCCACCAATACCGAGGGGCTAGTTTGGCCGTTACTTGTTGGAAGTAAATAACGAGGGGATTAGAGGGAATTAACGAAGACATAATAGGGTTAATTGCATCAAGTGCCACATAACTCTTGCAATTGTTGCACGTTAACCACTTAACGTATTCTCGTTGCAACTAAAACCTGTAAGTCGTATTACGGGTGCACCGTCACTACTTTCGTCCTCAAAAGTAACAATAGGTATAGAAATTGTTATTTGTCATACTACGCAGGCAGTACATGTCAGCAAATCTACTAAGTCATGTGCGGGCCTCATCAAACCAGTGGCGGATCTAGGGGGTGGCCACCCCGGGCCCTGGGTCAGCCCTCCCCTGAATCCGAAGCTAGTATAGCACTTACAAATTTTTCGTTTTAGAATATTCAGAATAGTGTTAATTTATAATAAGATTGTGTTTAATTTGGAAAATGGTTCAGATGAACATTTTCAAACCACAACTCTAAATTCAACCTAGAAATTCTCGGCTCAATGATTTTCTTCTAAAGAAAAACAATGAACCAAATTTCTTAAAGTCTAAAACGTAAAAGAAAAATAGAAATATGAGGTTTGTTCCCTCTAAAAATTACTAGAGCAGCTGGTGAAAATAGGGTTGGACACTCAATACAAATTGATTAGTCAATTGATTTGTACAGTGTTGGCATTGCTCGTTTCAACAACTAACCTTTTCAACAATGAAACATGTGAAAACTTATTTGCGCAACAAGATGAGCGATGAATTCTCGGTGATTGCTTAACTATTTCATTTGAAAGAGAGTATACTATTGGTATGGATGTAGACTCCATTATTGATGAATTTGCTATATTAAAATACGATCGTGTAAAATTGGCATTATAAAAAAATTAGGATTATTTTCTTTTTATGGTATCTAATTTTTTAATAAAATCCGGCCCAGTGCTCTAATATTTCCTGGATCCGCCGCTACATCAAACCCTTGGCCCACCAAAATTTGGCCACTCCTCCTGGTCTTTTTTTGGTCATACACTCATCCTGCTCTTTATCTTCTTGGAAACTAACCCCAAACCTCATTCTCTCTTCTTCCCCGAAACAATTTCCCGTGTCCTTCCCCTTTCAAGGTTTCCAGAAGGTGCGCCTCAGTTCAATCTAGTAATCATGATCCATACCCAATGGGCATTTTCTTTTTCTGTGTGTTAATTTATACGTGTCTCTCTTTTCGGTTTTTTTCCCCATTCATTCAGTGCAAAAGGGGAGAAGGATGTGGTTCAAAGTGCTCTATTGCGGTATCTGCCACTCCAATCTCCACATACTCAAGAACAAATGGGGTACCTCCATGCACCCACTAGTCCCCGACCACGAAATCGTTTGTCTAGTCATCGAAATCGTTCATGCCGCTGCTGCGAAAACTGCATCACCGACCTCAATAATTACTTTACCAAACACAACCTCACTTATTCCGGCCTCAGCTCTGACATGACCATCACCTACGGCCGCTACTCCGACGTCATGGTGAGATCTACGTGTCTGGGACAACATTTTGTCCTCTGAGTCATTCTCTCTTCTACGTTTCAACGGTGAAAGAAAGTGTAGGAAGGGTTTATGAGCTTTTGGGGGAGAAGAGAGAATGAGTTTTTGGGGTTTTACGACTAGTTTCCAAGAAGACAAAGAGAAGGAGGAGTGGCCAAAATTTTGTGGGCCTAGAGTTTGATGAGTCCTGCACATGACTCATCATATTTGCTGACATATCCTGCCTGCATGCCATGACAAATAAAAATTTCAGTACTTGTCGTTAATTTTGCGGATGGAAGTGGTGACGGTGTACACGTAATACAACTTACAGGCTTTAGTTTCAACAAGATTACGTTAAGTGGTTAACGTGCAACAATTGCAAGAGTTAAGTGGCACTTGGTGCAATTAACCCGATAGAATACTACCCCTCGGTAAAGCATCCTACCCCAAGAATAATACCGACCGGTCTCAAATTCCCCGGTATTAGTGCATGTTCAACGACAGGAACTTGACCCGCCATCCCCATTCCCCTCGTGAAACCCCTTTTTTCTTGTAGTGTACTCCTTGGAGGGAACATCTGGAACAACTTTATCACTAGCTAGAGCATCTACAATAATGCAATTTGAAAACAAATTGCATATGTGGTTCTAATTGCCACATTGACATTTTTTGCAATAAAACACATATTATATTGTACTTCCATCAATTCAATTCATTTTCTATTTCTGTTAGTTATTAAACAATATGTTTAAATTATGACAAATGTAAGGAGAAAAAAACTAACCATCCCCCATTTTTTAGGCCACTTTGACTTTCGTATGCAATTAATTTTGTTGTAAGACTAAAAATATGCAATGGTTAACACTATGATTGTCATGACAATGGCATGCCGTGCCGACTGGTACAACCGAGTTCAAATGGTACGATGACTCACTTCTACTGTCACTCTAGGAATTGGCCAAGTGTAACCACTTCCTAAAGCGTAGTATAGCGGGTTTGGGTTTAATTATCAACCCGGGTCCTAGATTTGATGACTACTCAGTGAATTCTTGTTATCTAGCAATGAAACTGGAATGCAAGTCTAAACTAACAAACTAACAAAGCAAGTAAACTGTTGTATTCAGGTTAAGAGAGGTCACCCGGATATGGTTCCCCCTAGACTGCAGTTAAGCCGCATTGTAATTACCAAGTTCAGTTTCTATGATAGTTATACTGCGGAAGGTTCTTAAACAGCCTGAAGTCTCGACTAAAGGTCTTCAGACCCTCTCAATCTGAATCTCTAGCGGGCGACTAACCCCCACCGGAGTAAACAGATTGAGGCCTTAACAAACAAAACCTCCACTACCGGAGTAAATCCGGTACAGAATAGTGAGTTGGCTCCTCGACTAAAGTCACCAACTCCCTACCTTCAATCAAGAATGCTCCATCAACCTAGGCAGATATTCTCATTCTAGGTTAAAGCAGAAACAACAGGAATTTGATCAGGATTCAAGTCATTCAATCATTCAAACCTCAATCGAATATAATCAAATCATAGAATCAGTACTTGGGTTCATACAATCAAAGCCTAACATACAAATCTAGGGTTCTCCATACCCAGATGAATGGGAGAACTACTCCATGGAGAAAGAAGCAAAAGCAGAATCAGACGCGGAATTCATACTGTGAAGGATGGATTCTTGCTCCTGGACGTTGATCGGCACTTCTCCAAGCTCAAACTGGCCTCCAATGGTGATGAAGATCAAGCTAGGGCACTTGGAGACTCTTGTTCGTCGCTTTCTCTCTCTAGGAATCGCTCTGTCTCTCTAAAACTCGAATCCCCTTCTGTTTGGCTGAAAATCTGCTTAAAAGGGCATCAGTGGCCAAAGCACGGTCGAGGGCACGGCCGTGTAATGCCTCAGCCCGCCCGTGCTTTGGCTAGGGTTAATTACACGGCCAGTGCATTGGGAGAAACACGGACGTGTTTCATGATGGACACGGCCGTGCTTTGGTGACCACGGCCGTGCTTTCTCTAAGCCCTGCCCGTGTTTTTAGCCAATGTTTGCCAAACTCGAATTTTCTCTCGGTAGTAAAAACACGGCCACAGAACACGGTCGTGTTCTGTTTTAGGCGTGCCCGTGTTCTGGCTCCAGCTCAACGAAATGACTTCCGAATGCCCCGAAACTCGTGCTTAGCCTTTCCTTTGACGCTTGGGACCTGAAATATGACAAAATAGCACAACCCGGCGTAAAATAGGCCAAAATACACGACTATGCCTCTCAAACGGATAAGAACTAGGGGCGCAAATATGTGCAATTACATCGTTATCAAATTCCCCCACACTTAACCGTTTGCTTGTCCCCAAGCAAACCAAGTCAGACACAAGGTAAGCTCAAAACAACAAGGCATGACATATCGGCACAAAACACGTGGATCATACTGGCTTTCGATCAGTAACACATGGACAACTTCAATGACAACCTAGACAACCACCACAGATGACATTCGAATGCAGTAAAACCGAGCAAAGGAAGAGTCTCCCTTCTGTTCACCAACCAACATAGACTTGACTCAACCACTTGTTCAAAACAGTCACATCATGCACAAAGTTCAAGATATCAGAATTAAGACCGAGCAATCTAGGTCCTCACCGGGATAAAGAGTATAGAGAATAAGAGAAAATGAATCGCTCACTCTCGACCAGTGCGGTCAGGACAATATGATGCGAAAAATGCGCATGCTTAATCTCTCAATCCCTAACATCTCTTCACCATGAATGCAGCCTCTATGTTCTAGAGTTCACATATGGGGTGTCATCACCAACTAATCCGGAGGTCTTAGACACAGGTTCAGATGACTGGCTAGGGTCTTGGACATGGGGAAAAGGCCTTTTAGGTGGTGGAAGTATTCATACAGCACAAGGTTCCACATTTCCAAACCCAACAGACTCACAATCAATCAAACCAAAAACTTTCTTTCTGCTATTATGCATTACTCAAGTTCAGAGCACAAGAGCGAAGGAGGCTACATAAATGCTAGTATTTCTAAGCCAGACTGCTAAGAAACACTACTACATGGGCATTATTCAGATTTTTGGTGGTGGCTCTCTTTTGCTTTCATTTATTTTTTTCTTTGATTTTCTTTCATTATTTTTCATTTCATAAGAGAACCACCGCCTCTGCACATTGTCAAACACCTGCCCAACTTTTAAGCACTACCTCCAACCCTCACATTACATTTAGCAGAAACAGCAGAGAACATGTAAAAATCACTCTGTGGAACCTTCTAAAAGATGCAAAAGGGTGACTTTTCATTGAAGACCGAAAGAAAGAAAGCACCCGGCTCAAAGGGGCTGACTAGGGGTATGACACACCAGGACAGTCAATTTGGTCGTGGGCTAATCCTATGCCTCCATCATCTTAGCTAATGACAACACGAATGCTTCACATCATGGAAGAGGGAACTATCGCACAAGAAAGAAACGAGCAGGCTCAAATCTCACATGGCTACCTATATGCTCTATCTCTCGTTCTGATTCCCTGAACTAGATGCATAAATGACTGTCAAAAGCAAGTGATCGAACCAAGTAACATTTGGTGGGCAGACAATTGAAAAACTGAACCCCTACACAATTCTACTGCACATCTCAGTCATCACAATAAGTTATCTAAGTCACACTCAAGTTGTCATGTATCAAGTCAAAAGCCATTCAATTCACTAGTCACATCCACAGTGCCAATACGATCAATCATCAAACAAACAGCCGCGCTTCGAGCCCTCAAATCTCAAGATTTCGACAGTGGACTAGGCTCCAAGCACACATATATACGTTCCAATTCATACAAAGAACCCCCCCACACTTAAACGCGGCAATGTCCTCAATGGAGCAGAGGGAAGGGGAACGATGTTACCGTGAAACAGTGGTCAGGAACGTTGACTGGAAGGCGGACCAGTCAAAAGAAGGGGGCACAGAGCTAGAGACAACAAAAACACCCACACTGGGTGATAGAAATCAGAGTACCAAGTCTACAATCCAAGAGAAAACAAAACAAAATGAAATCACAAAACACGGAGTCTCAGTCTGGAACACAAATAAAGCACAAAACCCGCTCTAGAAGGCATCACCGCCATCGCCGGTGGATGGAGGGTACTCATCCTCAAACCCTGGGGACTGCACGAACGGGTAGTGGACCGCGTTCGGGTCCAAGCCCAAGTAGGACATGATGTAGTGCTGCCCCGACATGTGACGACGCCCTCGGTCCCGCTCACGATCAAGGCGGGTGTGGCATTCTGCTGCGTGATCGCCGCCAACTGGTCGGAGATGGACACCACCACTGGAGGAGGTGACCCTGGAGAAGGAGACCGGGGAGCAGGAGAGGGGCTCGCGGGAGCCTAGGCACGGCGGGGAACGCGACGGGGAACTCGGCGCCCACTAGCGGCGCTCGACTCAGCCTGGTCGCCCTCTGCAGGTATAGGTGGCTGAGGAAGGCCCACGATCCAGCGCACACGCCCGAGGCGAGCAACCAAGTGCTGGTGGCGGAGAGTAGTCTCGCCGAGTGGGGTTGGTCCGCGGACCAATGTCATCCCTGTGTAGTCCACCCCGTAGTTGCGGGCCAAAGCGGTGATCACCGGGCCACAAACGAGGCTGCGAGTCGTGCTGATGGCTGCCTTAGTGAACGTCCGGGCAAGCACAGAGCCCAGCTGGATGGTGTCCTCAGAACGACCCATCGCATGCAACAACCAGAGAGTCCGGAGTGTGACCCGGTTGGACGAGCCCTGGCTGGGTGTGTAAGAAGTGCACATCAGGTGGTTGAGGATCCACCACTCCGGACGGAGGAGAGCAGCCCGCGTCTGGCCACGTACTCTTCATCCACACTGTCCGGCAGGCAAATGCTCTGAAAGTACGCCTGGGAAGCGAAGTCCGTGGGATCAGAGAGATCCAAGCGGAGAGGAGGCCCGCCTGCTGCCCGGGAATTGAGACGAAGTGCATTGGCGAACTCCCAGTAACTGAGGGAGTGCTCCACCCCGCCGAGGGTGAACTGAACGTCATCAGCATGGTTGGAGCTCCCCTTCGAGTTGTGGTGGAAGGTGGCATAGAACTCCTAGACCAGCTCCTTTTAGCTCGCTTCGGCGAGGGTGAGAAGACGCCGCCAAGCAGGGGAGCGGACCACGGCCTCCATCTCTGTCCTGCCATGAAGCTCCTCGAACACCTCCCAATCGAGGTGAAAGTGCTCGGCGATGCTGCGGTCACGGAGGTTCCACAGCTTATGGCGCTGGATGATGTTCATCTGGTCGAGATAAACCTCCATGATCCTGCAAAACACAATGAAGGACAAAGTGTACACAAGCAAACGTGGTCAATGTTAGGCCAAACCACACCGGGAGCCCTCATATCGAAAGATATGGACAGTGGACTAGACTCCCGACGACACAAACATACCCATCATACGAGATTTTCACAGCAAAATACACCGGGGACCCTCAAATCGAGCGATTCGGACAGTGGACTAGGCCCCCGGTGAAACAAGCATACCACAACTGTCCTAAATAGCACCAATCGAGGCATCACAGAAATATCACATATCACGCAGACCATTCAACATGCAATCAGCCCAATCATCCCCCAAACCCAAAATATTCCCAAACCATGCATTCCACAATCAAAAGTTCTTCACCTAACTATAGGTATCGATTCTCCATAAATATAGGAAAAGACAAGGAGAACACACCTGGAGACGCAAGAAGAGACCACGAGAGAGGTGAAGAAAGTGGAAAGAAGCACCCAAAGTCGCCGGAAAACACACCGGAGACTCGCCGGAAAACTCACAGCCGGCGACCCAACCTCAGCAAAACCAGCCCAAATCTTTGGGGAATGTGCTCCTCGATGCCAGGAGCGTGGGGGCGCTCGCGGTTTGTGATTTGGAGGTCGGGAGAGGAAGTTATGGCCGGAAAATCGAAGGAGAAGGTGAAAGGGGCGATTTTCCGGCGAGAGGGGGATGAGGAATTTGAAAAAAAAAAACTGATCTGAAGGGGTTTGGGGCGGAAAAATCGATTTTATAGGGGGGGGGGACGAAACACGGGCGGGGCAGAACACGGCCGTGTTCTGCCTGCTCCGCGCCCGTGTTTTCACTGCCGAGGGCGAATTGCTCTTTTAATAAAACACGTGCGGGCTCCTTTCAAAACACGGCCGTGTTTTCGAAGGGCCCGTGCCCGTGCTTTTTATGCCGAGGCTTAAAGGCAAAACACGGGCGGGGCAGGGCAAAACACGGCCGTGTTTTGGCCCCCTGCTGCCCGTGTTTTTACTGCAGAGCCTAAAATGCCTTTTTTTCAATTTTCAATCTCAAACCACCAAGATTCATTCGTGCCCCGGCTCTAAAATTTACCCAATCACACATCAAAAAGAACCGCCCGAGGCACGAAAAACTTTCTAGACTGACTCCAGACAGACTCAAAGACTCAAAAACCGACAAAGATGAAATAAATAAATAAAAACAAAGGTAGAAATGCAAACCGTGGTGGGGTTGTGATGACTCGGTATTTGCACATGTTTCCCCCTTTGTTTCTTGATTGTTTGAGCTTGAATTATAGTGTCTTTGGCCTATTTTACGCTAGGTTGTGTTCCTTTGTCACATTTCAGGTCCTAGTACATAAAGTGAAGCATAGGCGCAAGTTTCAAGTCAATCAGAGATCAATTGACGATTCGGGAGAAGAAACTCGGGTATGACCTGAAGAAGAATGGATTTCTACCTCACTTTATGGACAAAGAATCATGCAAGATTGTCAAGAATAGAAAGAGGACGAGACTACGAGCGTCTGGGATCAAACGGCGACTGATTCGGAGTCCGGACGAGGGAGAAACGAAGCATTAAACAGAGGTTGAGCAAGCAACACGGGCACAACCCACACGGCCGTGTGACCTGGCCATGTGGCCGTGTGGAAATCACCGAGCCTTCACACGGGCAGCGGGGAAAGCCACACGGCCGTGTGGCCTGGCCGTGTGAGTCGGGAATTGCTGTTGGAGCTCGGGAATCAAGCTTGGAGATGGAGATTGAAGATCTAGATCAGATTTCTGCAGTCTCTCTCTTCTCTATGGAGTAACTTCCCTTCACTTAGGTTTTGAGGAACCTTAGTTCCATGAGTTAGGATCTTTCTTGTATGAAGTTTTGGATGCTATATTGTTTGATTATAATCGAATGATGCATGTTTATTGAGTCAATTGAAGTCTGATCAACTTTTCCTGATTCCTGCTGCAATCTGAGATAGATAGAATCTGATTAGGTTGCTAGAGTCTCATCATTCGGTAGTAGGAGATTGGCTATACGAGAGTTAGCCAGTTTACTGCTTTGTACTGGAATCCAATTCCAGTAGTGGAGTTCTGTGCTTATTGCTTCAGCTTTCTATCCCGGTGAAGACTAGTCGTCTGCCGGATAGTTAGACTGAGAGGGCTTGGTCAGCTTAAGAGATTCCAAGCTACTGTCGGATCTTCTGCAGTTTAATCAACAGTAAATCAACCAAAAGGAATTACAACTTGGACCTAATTGAGGAGCTAGGGGGAATCATACCTAAGTGACTTCCCAAACTGTAATTAGTAGTTTTACTTAGTTTAGTTAGTAGAGTAGTTTAGTTAATCAATCCTTAATCTAGTTTGCTAGATAATGAACTGAAGCTGAGTAATAGTAACTCTAGAGACCCGTGGATTCGATATTTATTACTTGTGCCACTATACTGCAGTCCCTTTAATTGGTTACACTTGGCCATTGTTAGGTGTTGTGTTTTAGAGCATCAAGTTTTTGGCGCCGTTGCCGGGGACTTTCTAGAGTATTAGGAAAGGCAGAAGTTTGTTACTTCAGCGTTTTTCTTTTCTTTTCTTTTCCACCTTTGCTTTTCACTTGGGTGTTTTTGTTTTTGTTGGTGCAGATCTGAATCATGGATCCTAATGGCTTTTCCAATCATTGGGGGTATCCACCACCATCCGGGTGGTATTACCCCGCGACTCCCTACAGCAATCAAGGAGGAGAAGACTATGGATTCGGGTTCCAGTACCAACCCCCTTACTATGGAGAACAATCAGACCCCTGGGCATATCAAGAACAACCTCATTACCAAGAAGACTTTCTCCCACAACCAGAAGGGCCATCGGAGCTGGAGTTACCCATGGCGGCCTTCACGGGCCACTCTGAAGAGCCATGCTACACTTCAATGGAGGATCCGAACGAACAATTAAGGCTTCTCGTGGAGCAGTTTGCTCGAGACACTGAGAAATCATGCTCCAAGATGGATCTTCAAATCAAAGCCCTTGCCACTGATACGCCCCTGGGGGGGTGTATGTTATCAAAGTAACGCAGCTAACGACTCAATCGAAGAATCGATTGAGCTCGAATCAAGAACGAAGCGTTCTTAATACGAACTTGGATAAAACGGAACCAACGGACAATTCCACACCTGGGGAAAGCTCGTATGGTATAAAAGGGTAGATGCTCGACCATGATTGAAGTGAATATTCAATCGATACACAAGCTCACAAGCTTGGAATCCACCAAACTCAAACAAGTCGCAACTTGCACAAAACCAAAGGTTTGTTTTTCGATTAATCAAAGTCTCCCATTACAATGTAAATAGAAGAGTATTTAAAGGCAAATAAACCTAATACAAACCTAGATGAACAAGGAAACAAATAAGGTAAAAGTCTACTCTAAAAAGGTTACAAAGTATGTACCCTGAACACGGATTTTGACTTAGCCAAATTCTGCCTTTCTTCTTCCCAACTTTGATAGCTTCTTTGTTAAGTAATTGTGACGTGAATTGTCGGCAATTTGGGATCATATCAGGCCCTCCCTCTTGAAAAAGTGTTGCCCTCAACACTTTAGCCTTTCTTTGCTCAAACCGTTCAGAGAATTGATCCCAAATCGGATCAAAAGAAGGCTTCTCAAACATCATTTTCGACGCAAACATTTCAGTTCCATACTCACCTTCAATCTGTTTCAGAGGGATTGACGGTAGAAGTGTTGTTGGAAATGTTGGCTGGAGTTGTAATAGACCTCTATTGATAACCAATTTTGCCTGAAACTGATCGGAGCAACTCCTAGTTCGTCGGATAGTTACTACGAACTTCAACCCGTTCGGCGAAATTGGGGATTTTAGTTTCAAGGACCCACAGTCTAATTCAACGACTAAACACTCTTCCTGGGCTCGAAACAAACCGCCCTCTTTGTTCAATTTCTCTGGAATTCGATACGAACAAGCTCCAGGTCGTCGAACGCCACCTTTGTACATGTTCTTGCTCGAACAATTTGGGGGTTTTCGATTACAGCTTCTCCAATCCAATTCATCGACTACAACGTCTTCTCCAGGCCTCCAATAGCAATTTTGATCCCTTCTACAACATCGATTCATCACCAGTGTCTGCAATTCCTCGAGTTCTCCATTCCCGCCGTCGCCGAAATTCGAATTTTCGCAACCCAGAAAAGCCAAATAGAAATTGGGGGTTTTAATCCCAGGCATCTTCGAGACGAATTGATGCATTCCACACGTTCCTCGTACATCCTTTGACGGTTCTTCACCATTGGTTTGGCTCGATTTGAGCTGGATGGCGCTACCCACGAGAGGGTTCTGTTCGGCAGTGTTCTTCACAAACAGAGGGACTTTTGCGCAATTTGATTCTTGAGTCTCAAGTGAGATCGTCTCCAATGAAGCACCTTTTGACTTTATGGGGATCGGATTAAGCGTTTTGGCACCGAGGGACGACTTCGAATTGTCACCGGTCGCGCCAGCCAATAGGGCCGTCAGGACGCTCTGTTTTTCCGAAGAAAAAACAGAGTCGGGGAACTCTGCTCTCCTCACTAGCGAGAATTTCGCGTCGTTTTTCAGCTTCGGGACTTCTCCTTGCTCTCTCATCCCTCCGTCAACATCCACGGACGCGTTTAAGGCCGCATCGTGCGCCGGCTTTGCTTCTACAACGTCGGCAGGACTTCCGAAGGAGGAACTCTGTTTCACATCGGAAAAGTAGAGGTCGTTGCTGGCTGTTGTTTCTGGCGTGGGAAATTCCCTCTCGAGCTTTCGAAAGCTCAGGAAATTGAAGCCAATACGTCGTTGAATCCACAATTGAGCCCGAGGCTCCTTCCCCTCGTTTTGATTCTCCTCTATTTGCTTCTGATCAGTGTAAACGTCGTCTGGAGAAAGAGGTTTCAGCTTGATTTTCCTACCTTTGTATCTGAATGTGTAGGAATTCTCCCAACCATTATGGGTAACCCCTCTGTCGAATTGCCAAGGTCGACCCAGTATTAGGTGAACATAATTCATTGACACAACATCACAAATTACCTCATCGTCGTAGCTGCCGAGTTGAAAACGAACCACCGCTTGCTTCGTCACATTAATTGTTCCGTGCTCGTTGATCCAACTGAGTTGGTAAGGCGCTGGATGCCTTTGTGTCATCAATCCAAGCTTTTGAACGGCGTATAGGCTGATGATGTTTGAGCAGCAACCTCCGTTGATCACGAATGAAATTAACTTGCCTTCGACAAAGCATCGGCTGTGAAATAGATTATCACGCTGCTCATCGGATTCTCGATGCTTAAAAACGACTGCTGGCTGCTCCTCTTGGACACGAATTTGCGTCTTCCTTGCCTTTACACTGCTCTCCACCATCTGTTGGTGTAGAATCGAAAACTTCAAACACAAACAGCAGCTGCAAAGTACAAACAGGGGCTGCCCTGTTTTGGAACTCGGTAAAACTGCTTATACGAAACAGCAGGTTCTTCTTCTCCTTTGCCCTTGTGTAGAACCAGGCTCTGATACCACTTGATACGCCCCTGGGGGGGTGTATGTTATCAAAGTCACGCAGCTAACGACTCAATCGAAGAATCGATTGAGCTCGAATCAAGAACGAAGCGTTATTAATACGAACTTGGATAAAACGGAACCATCGGACAATTCCACACCTGGGGAAAGCTCGTATGGTATAAAAGGGTAGATGCTCGACCACGATTGAAGTGAATATTCAATCGATACACAAGCTCACAAGCTTGGAATCCACCAAACTCAAACAAGTCGCAACTTGCACAAAACCAAAGGTTTGTTTTTCGATTAATCAAAGTCTCCCATTACAATGTAAATAGAAGAGTATTTAAAGGAAAATAAACCTAATACAAACCTAGATGAACAAGGAAACAAATAAGGTAAAAGTCTACTCTAAAAAGGTTACAAAATTCGGGTTTAAACTCCTTTTCTTCAAGCGCAAGTAAGCTGCCAGCAAACAGTCAAAAGGCAGCTTTCGTACTAACTTCGCGCCTTTCGTTCGAGGCCTTCCCGAACTCCAATCTTTCATCCGATTCCTTCCCTTGGTAGATAAACATACCTAGTTTCATGTTGTGGAAGCCTTTGGACTTGAATCAGATCCATGCTCCTTGAACTGAGCTCCAAAGTAGACTTCACAAATCAGTTTCCAGACTTAACCATTTTCTGGCAGTTTTCCAGTTTTGAGATAGCAACTTTGAGGCCTTGGAAAACAACCTTAATGACATCATCTGGATCCACCAAGCATACCATTGGAAAGATGGTAACTTTATCTGCAAAACAAACCCTTAAAATTGAATTTCCACCAAGCCAATTGAGAGAACCATGCCTCCAAAGTATGTACCCTGAACACGGATTTTGACTTAGCCAAATTCTGCCTTTCTTCTTCCCAACTTTGATAGCTTCTTTGTTAAGTAATTGTGACGTGAATTGTCGGCAATTTGGGATCATATCAGCCACTTCCGATCCCTCATTTCTCCATGATATGGAGGAGACTGTTCAGCGCTCAGCGAAGCAAACAGAGTGGGTGAAGCAAGTTTGCTCACATCTTGCTCAAGATCACCTTTCTGCTACCACGCTAGAAGAGGTGGAGGATGACAAAGGCTATGGGAGCGTTGAGGAGCATACAGAAGTTATCACAGAGAACTCCCATGATAACCATGATCAGGAAAGTCCTTTGGTTGCAGACCACACCTTTCCTCATTTGTGCTCTAACATGCTGGGCCCGTGCGAGGAGATGCAAGATGATCCCATTGAAGAAATTTCTTGGCGACTTGCTCTCCAATCTGTTCTAGAAGAAGAAGAGCGAGCAAGGATGAGGAAGGAAGTTGTGGATGATGAGGAAGAAAGAAAAGAAGAGGTGGTTCTTGATCTTTTCCCAGGGGAGAGACCACATTTTGAAGAAGGAAGGGGGGTTGTGGAAGCAATTGGCGTCCAGGCTGAGGATGAAGTTGAGGTGGAAGAGGCATGCACCGGCCATGAGTTGCAAGTAATATCCCCACCAAACTTTGAGGAACTGCTTGGCAAGGACCCATTTGCAGTGTCTCTTGGCCAGACCAAGGCCACATCGACATCGGTCCCTCTTGGTGGACGCGATGGTGGTCGGTCGATGCTGTCATATCTGGTTTGGGGCAAGGAGACAAGAGAAGAGAAGAAGAGGTCTCGAGGGTGGAGACTTCATCTGCATCAAGTACATGAGCCTTCATCACCTGCCACACCACATGCTCTTGACTTGAGACTCCACCTCATCGACGAGAACCTCAACTTCAAGGAGGTTCTAGCATGGACCGAAACTTAGGAGCCATCGTCCGGCTCACGACGTGAAAGAAGCGCTTTTTGGGAGGCAACCCAACCAGTCGGTTTGCATTTCTTTCTCTATTTCTCCTCGGTTGAGTCAGTTTTGTTATTTGATTTTAGAGTCAATAACTCAACCTTTGTGAGATTTTGTGTGGTGTTTGTGTTCTGATTACTCTCTCTTCCTGGAATGCACTGCCTGACCCGTACATCATCATTCACCCTTGATCTGGTAACTTCGTTCTACCCTCCTTATCTTTCCTCCATTGAGGACAATGTCGTGGTTAAGTGTGGGGGGGTGTTCGATTATGTATGCGGGTGAACGTTTGGCTGTTTGTGTGCTTGGAGCCTAGTCCACTGTCCAAATTTTTAAATTTGAGGGCTCCAAGTATGTGTTTCCTTGCAAATTGCCTGCTCAGTATGCTTTGAATTGACAGTCTCTATAGTAATGTGCAACCTAGGGAGGTAGTGTAGCACTATGGAGGATGTTGAAGTATAAGATTTTTCCTATCTAGCTCTCTGTTGTGCCAGTTGATTTTGTGAATTAGTGGAGCTAAGACCGTTGAATTCATGTGGTAATGGTGACTCTGTTTGGATTATGTTATGGACTCGTGTATCGAACAGGGTGCTCATATGGAAAATGGGAAGCAGTTGGTCCTCCATGTCAAAATCATTAAATCTTAAACATGGGGTAAGCCCAACGTGTGCGGCACCGTTCATTGCACAAAATCGGGTTTTGGAAGAGATTTTAGTGATCCTTAGTGGGGTACTCCTACAAGGTGAAGCTAAGTTGTCTCTAGTACAAGTAAAACTTCCACCCGTTGAACGGTTTGCCTACTTGAGGATGTGTTTTTAAGGGCACCGATAGAGCTTCCGACCCCCCTTAATTTCATTGACCCTCCACACGAGTTGAGGAAAAGGAGTTAAAAGAAGTACTCTGGCGAGCTCCAGATGTACAGAAATTGCTCTTGCTCGACTAATAAGGGTCGACCGTGCAAAAGACTGTAGTTGGAACCCCACCAAATGAAAGAAAAAATGTAAATGAAAGTGAGAAAAAGGGGTTCCAACGGTGAAATGAAGTGAAAGAGCACCCCGGTACAACGAATCCTTGGTTGTGAATGGTGTGAGTCCCTTTATCCATGAACTGACTGTCTTACTTCTACTTTTTCTTATGATCCTGGCTTGAGTCTAGTACTCGCATTGAGAGAGATAGGGAACGTCTTAGAAGACCAGTTGACCTCGTAAGCTGCTATATGATCTAGGAAATCCTCTACCGAAGATCGGGGTTGTATGTTGCTATAGAGATCTGGAGAGCTGCATTGGTTTGAGTTAGGTTTGCTTGGGGACAAGCAAACAGTTAAGTGTGGGGGGATTTGATGACTCGGTATTTGCACATGTTTTCCCCTTTGTTTCTTGATTGTTTGAGCTTGAATTATCGTGTCTTTGGCCTATTTTACGCTAGGTTGTGTTCCTTTGTCACATTTCAGGTCCTAGCACATAAAGTGAAGCATAGGCGCAAGTTTCAAGTCAATCAGAGATCAATTGACGATTCGGGAGAAGAAACTCGGGTATGACCTGAAGAAGAATGGATTTCTACCTCACTTTATGGACAAAGAATCATGCAAGCTTGTCATGAATAGAAAGAGGACGAGACTAAGAGCGTCTGGGATCAAACGGCGACTGATTCGGAGTCCGGACGAGGGAGAAACGAAGCATTAAACAGAGGTTGAGCAAGCCACACGGGCACAACCCACACGGCCGTGTGACCTGGCCATGTGGCCGTGTGGAAATCACCGAGCCTTCACACGGGCAGCGGGGAAAGCCACACGGCCGTGTGGCCTGGCCGTGTGAGTCGGGAATTGCTGTTTAAAACCCGATTTTCAGCAAAAGGAAAGGGGGAGAGCTGGGTTTTGGATCCCAATCACCCAAGGGACGAACCCTAGAGATAGAGAGCGACTTGGGAACATTCTTGGAGCTATTTTGGAGGATTTCTTCGCCATTGGAGCTCGGGAATCAAGCTTGGAGATGGAGATTGAAGATCTAGATCAGATTTCTGCAGTCTCTCTCTTCTCTATGGAGTAACTTCCCTTCACTTAGGTTTTGAGGAACCTTAGTTCCATGAGTTAGGATCTTTCTTGTATGAAGGTTTGGATGCTATATTGTTTGATTATAATCGAATGATGCATGTTTATTGAGTCAATTGAAGTCTGATCAACTTTTCCTGATTCCTGCTGCAATCTGAGATAGATAGAATCTGATTAGGTTGCTAGAGTCTCATCATTCGGTAGTAGGAGATTGGCTATACGAGAGTTAGCCAGTTTACTGCTTTGTACTGGAATCCAATTCCAGTAGTGGAGTTCTGTGCTTATTGCTTCAGCTTTCTATCCCGGTGAAGACTAGTCGTCTGCCGGATAGTTAGACTGAGAGGGTTTGGTCAGCTTAAGAGATTCCAAGCTACTGTCGGATCTTCCGCAGTTTAATCAACAGTAAATCAACCAAAAGGAATTACAACTTGGACCTAATTGAGGAGCTAGGGGGAATCATACCTAAGTGAGTTCCCAAACTGTAATTAGTAGTTTTACTTAGTTTAGTTAGTAGAGTAGTTTAGTTAATCAATCCTTAATCTAGTTTGCTAGATAATGAACTGAAGCTGAGTAATAGTAACTCTAGAGTCCCATGGATTCGATATTTATTACTTGTGCCACTATACTGCGGTCCCTTTCATTGGTTACACTTGGCCATTGTTAGGTGTTGTGTTTTAGAGCATCAAGTTTTTGGCGCCGTTGCTGGGGACTTTCTAGAGTATTAGGAAAGGCAGAAGTTTGTTACTTTAGCGTTTTTCTTTTCTTTTCTTTTCCACCCTTGCTTTTCACTTGGGTGTTTTTGTTTTTGTTGGTGCGGATATGAATCAAGGAATTTGTTGTGTTTTAGAGCATCAGTTACTCAACCTGTTCGTCCCAAAATCTCTTAGAAAAGGTCGCTTAGCAACAGATTCCTTGTAGAAGGAGATGTAAAAATCAACCATCCCTCCAGCCAGTTCCTCCCTGCCTTCAAACCTCACCCCTTGAATATATAAACATTCAACCATGTTGAATTTCTTCTTAAAATTAGCCATCACATTAAAGAACCTCGTATTATCGTCCCCAAACTTCAGCCTGTGTTCATTTGCTTTCTGCCTCCAAGAAATTTCCTGTAGAAAAAGAAGTCTACTCAACTCCATTTTGAGTCCCTGTCGTTCCATCACCTCGTTATTATTCAATAATCTGCCCTCCTCGGATGAATCTAGATCTTTAATTCTGAACAGAGCTTCCTCAATCTGGGTGTTAATATTACCGAAGACCCTCTTGTTCCACTCCTTAATAAGACCCTTCAGATTCTACAATCTCTTGCACCACCGAAAGGCTGCCCCTCTACCTTCAATAGCCGTCCTCATCCACGTTTCCATTTCCACAAAGAACCTCTCATCATGAAGCCACATGATTTCAAACTTCCGTGGTCTTTTGGCTCTCCCTGAATCCCCCCATCTGATAAGCAGAGGGTTATGGTCCGGTTCAACACGCTCAAGAGCCATCAAGGAGCAATTAGGGAACAAGCTGTTGAAATCCGAGGAAACAAAAACTCTATCAATACGGGACAGAGAATTACTCCCATCACCCCTGCACCAAGTAAATAAACTGCCACTAAGAGGGAGTTCAATAAGGGCATTACTCTCAATACAGTCGTTAAACTCCTCCATTAGATTAACATTCCTTCTAACTCCTCTATAATCACCATGATTACGCACCAAGTTAAAATCTCCGGCAATACATAGCGGTAGCTCTGTGGTCAAACACAGATCATGAATCTCCCGAATGAAGGCCAATTTATTCTCTCTATCCTGCGGACCATAAACCACAGCAAAAGACCAGATTTTCAACGTGCTCAGCTCTTGAAGAATAATAAGTAGATAAAATGTCCCAATTCTAGTGTCCAGGACTTGGAAGTAATTTTTATCCCAGTGAATTGCGATTCCTCCTGCACTATTATCAGCATTCTTGGCTGCCCAAGCCCTGTCCCTGTTTCCACTGACATCCGAAATAAGATCATCATTGCACTGATTCCACTTGGTTTCAACAAGACCCACGATACTGGCCTTTCTTCGAGCAAGTAACCTCTTAACCCTTCCCCTCTTACCGAAATCACCCAGACCTATAACATTCCACACAATAATGGACTGATTCATCATACCTTAGAAGTAGAACCTTCCTCTGCCATCCTCTTACTTCCTATGGACCCAAATGCTGGAGCTTCTACAAGCCCTAACCTACGCTTCTCCATTTCTAATTTCGACCTGTGAGGTCTCACCTTCCGCTGGTGTAGGATCCTGGCCTTATTCTCAATAATTCGCTCAGCTTCAGCTTGACCATCTTCATGCTCCAGATTGAACAAGGAGCCCATTTTGCGACTTCTAGCAATTAGGGTGTCCACATCAAACGGGAACTCTTCCAGCCTCCACTCTATTCCTTGGCTATCCGGGACACATGAAGGAGATGGTAATTCTGGATCTGTTTCAGTAATCGTGGATATGCCGATGTTTGACGCTGGTGAGTTTGGGGGGTTGTTGGTCAATTGGTATTGGGACGAGGTTGAACTGGGGAGGGTGACTGGTTGGGGATTAAGGGAGTGATTTGCAAAAGGAGAGGCAGAAAGAATGATGCTTGATTGTAAGGGTTCTGACTCGACTCTACTGTCACCCTAGGAATTGGCCAAGTGAAACCACTTCCTAAAGCGTAGTATAGCGGGTTAGGTTTATATGTCAACCCGGGTCCTAGATTTGATGACTACTCAGTGAATTCTTGTTATCTAGCAATGAAACTGGAATGCAAGTCTAAACTAACAAACTAACAAAGCAAGTAAACGGTTGTATTCAGGTTAAGAGAGGTCACCCGGATATGGTTCCCCCTAGACTGCAGTTAAGTCGGATTGTAATTACCAAGTTCAGTTTCTATGATAGTTATACTGCGGAAGGTTCTTAAACAGCCTGAAGTCTCGACTAAAGGTCTTCAGACCCTCTCAATCTGAGTCTCTAGCGGGCGACTAACCTCCACCGGAGTAAACAGATTGAGGCCTTAACAAACAAAACCTCCACTATCGGAGTAAATCCGGTACAGAATAGTGAGTTGGCTCCTCGACTAAAGTCACCAACTCCCTACCTTCAATCAAGGATGCTCTATCAACCTAGGCAGATATTCTCATTCTAGGTCAAAGCAGAAACAACAGGAATTTGATCAGGATTCAAGTCATTCAATCATTCAAACCTCAATCGAATATAATCAAATCATAGAATCAGTACTTGGGTTCATACAACCAAAGCCTAACATACAAATCTAGGGTTCTCCATACCCAGATGAATGGGAGAACTACTCCATAGAGAAAGAGGCAAAAGCAGAATCAGACGCGGAATTCATACTGTGAAGGATGGATTCCTGCTCCTGGACGTTGATTGGCACTTCTCCAAGCTCAAACTGGCCTCCAATGGTGATGAAGATCAAGCTAGGGAACTTGGAGACTCTTGTTCGTCGCTTTCTCTCTCTAGGAATCGCTCTGTCTCTCTAAAACTCGAATCCCTCGACTTGTGGCTGAAAATCTGCTTAAAAGCAGAAAATCCCGACTCACACGGCCAGGGTGGCACGGCCGTGTGGCTTACCCAGTTGCCCGTGTGAGTCAAAACGCTGCGTTCCAATTAGTTCGATCTTCAGGCTTCTCACACGGCCAGGGTCTCACGGCCGTGTGAGATTTCCATCTGCCCGTGTTTGCTCTCGGCGAAACTCGCACGGCCAAACCACTCCTTCACACGGCCGTGTGAACATCAGGGCAGGCCGTGTTTGCTCTCGCACAATCTCACACGGCCAAAGTGGTCACTTGCACGGCCGTGTGAGTTGTGGGTGTGCCAGTGTGACCTCCTTTGTGACTTGTCTCGCGCCCGATCTTCGCCCAATCGACCCCGAACTCGCTCCTAAACCTTCATTCACTTGCCAGGACCTGAAATATCACAAACAAGCACAACCTAGCGTGAAATCGGTCTAAAACACGAGAAACCACATCTCAAACGGTGTAAGAACAGGGGTGAAAACATGTGTAATTAACGGTCTATCAGGTTCAAAATCAAAGTTGGGTTCGGAGGAGGGGACTGTGTCAATCCAGGGGAACTAAGAGCTTGGGTTGAGGTAGGAAAAGGACTGGCTTTGGCAATTGAAGGTTGGAAGGAAGAGAAGAGGGTTCTGGGTGGGTTTGAGGAAATGGTAATCATATGGAACGGATGGGTAGAGGATAACCAGCTAAAGATTTGAAGGTTGGGTATTGGGTGGGGGATTGGGTTTAGAATAAAGTGGGTAAGAGTGAGTGAGCTCAGGACTCTAGGGAAGAGAGTGGGTTTATCCAGAACAGGGTTAATGGGCCTCTGATTTGATCCAACCAGCATGCAAGAGGTGTCAGTTGCGTTCGACATACCAGATCCAAAGGGTTCAGAAGGCTTGGCCCATATAGGCCCGAACTTCCTAACCAAAACTTTTTTAACCCGACCTCTTTGCGTTGGCCCAACTGGAGACAATGGAGGGCCTGATTTGCGATTTGAATTTTCAGGAAACCTAACTTCACTCCCTGTACCCGCCGTCATGCATCCACGCGAGCGACCGTTCCCATGCAGCGCTTCATCTTCCGTAATTAATCTCATCGACACTCTTCTCGGTTGAGAGTCCAATAATGATGACGCCTCATCAAGGTCCGCCCGCACGACTTTCATCCGATACCATCTACCGGCGAATAAGATCGGGGTGCAATCCGGCAAGAAATTATCAACCCTAACCCGAATTCTGATAAAATCGGCCGACCAGTGATTCCAATCAACTTCAACTAAGAACCCACAGAATTTCTCGATCTCTTTGATGAGGTCAACGCTTTTCAGATGACAGGGGATTCCGGTGACTAGAATCCACATGGTATCCGAAGCGTCTCCCCTGCTCTCTTCTTTCCAGTACGAGACTATGATTGAAAGATTCTGAAAACTGCATTGATCAAAGCTTCTAACACGCATTGCCTGATGCCAGCTCGGGCAGATAAGCATCCATTTTCCAATCCCCTTGTCAATCCAGCCATAATTTGAATCAATGGCCCACTTTTTGTTAGCCCATCTCTTGAACTCATCGGCAGTAGATTGTGTGCAGATGTTGATTGATTTGGAAGAGAGTTGGATCTCCAGGCACTTTCCCATTAGATCTTGTCTGTTCTGAACTCCTTCATCACCAACTTCTATGAATCTATCCCTCCTAGAGCCTTTGATACAGCACTTCCCTGCACCATAAAATCCTCCACTTTTAACAACTTCTGCAAACGTCCTGACTTGCTGACCCGACGGAGGCTGGAACACAAGATGTTCGAATGGTCTCTCTAAATAGCTCCCCATAGCCCTTCGTTCAAGCGTATAGAAGTCCTGCAGTAAGTCGATGAGGGAGGCCCACCCCTTCTTGCCATCCGGTTCCGATATCAAAACCTTAAACACTCTTCCAGTGGCAACCATTTCAGAGATCTGAAGAACAGCTTTATTTTTAAGAGCGGTTCTGCCAACATGAATCACACGTTCTCCACTTCTCTTAATATACTCTTTTCCAAATTTCCAGTCTCTCATTGCCGCTGTCTGAAGAATGCCCTGTAACCAATCTAGCAAATCTTCACTCAGCAGAACAAACCACCTTTTCGAAGATTCTTTCACCTATAGCCGGTACCAGACAGCACCGCCACCTTCTTCTCTTTCAACCGAGACCAGCTTGGTTACAAACCTTTCATTCAGCGAAAAACTCATCCAATCGTCTACCATCACCGCCGCCAAAACCTTGACCTGTGACCTGCGCAAACAACCAGAAAAGGAAGCAACAGAAGGATTAGCCCCTACCCTTTCGCTCACCCTCTCCAGATCTCTCCACTGCTGGTTTCTCCCAGAACTAGCGCCCCGACCTATCGCCTTCTTTCAAATCCTTCAACATAGCTAATTGGAATAGTTCCATAATGCATTATAGGTTGTAATTTACTCCCCTGCTAGGACTGCAACTCCAAAAGGATCTGGGTTCTGGGAAACTTGGGAAGTGGAAGACCCCAACCTCCTCGACTCACTCCTTCCGTGACCCGCGTACTCTCTCATTCAGTCCCTCCTCCCGGTGGCGACAATTTTGCCACCGCCTCCCCATGCTCCAAAACCCCAACCTCCGCGACTCTCCCCTTCCGCGTACTCTTTCCCTTCTCCGGCCAACGGCAATTTCGCCACCGCCTTCCCCGCTCCCCCTGCTCCAAAACTCCAACCTCCGCGACTCGCTCTCCGACCTCTCCAAATCAAAACTAGTGAAAGCCCTGGTCCTCGATTTCTTCTGCAATGCCTCCGTCCGAATCACTGACGAGCTCGGATTCCCCTTCCATTCGCAAGCAGCCGCTCGACGCTCTTCATCGGAACCACAAATTCTTGCTAGGTATAAGCCACCATCAATCCACGAAGTTGGAGCACAGCTCCAGGTACACTGGCAAACCAGGTACCAGCTCCACCAGCGACGTTTTCCGGTTGTCGGCGAACTGTCAGAGATCGGTCGACGGAGGAAATTCCGGCGGCATGTTTCACTGCTGAATTTGCATATCAATTTACTATTTAGTACCTGAACTTTATAAAGAAATAAAAACAGGTCCAGCATTATGCATGAAAAATTATAATTTGATACTTCATAATTTATTGTTTTACATTTGGTACCTTAAAAAATAAATATCTACAAACAAATCCAAAGTGATGGGTACCCATATCCAACCCATATCTATTTTCACTTTGATAATAAAATCCAAATCCAACCCCGCCTACCACCCAAGTACTATCCAAACCCATATAGAATAAATCCATACCCTACGGGCCTACCCATAGTAGATGGGTATAATTGGGTTTGGGCAAAAATACTAATGGGTGGGTAATTGTCATGCCTAGGTGGCATTTAAGCAAGTTGATTTCTCTCAATAAGAACTCTCTCGGCACTTATCTCTCTAGAAACTCGACTGACTTGATAGTTGGAGTGCTAACGGGCCGCGAAGGCCCCGTGTGCCCATTTTACGCAGGGTGCAGGCGCCCCCATCGAAGTGCCAGCGTGGATTCCTGTTCTCGAAGGCCTTTGACGTCCTCGTCACAGATCCGGTCAAGAGTGGAATTCGGCTGACCCGTACGGAGTTTCGTGGCTTAAACAAGAAGCATTACGTAAGGTTTTCGTAACGACTTAGCAGTTTACGTAACGCGAGATTAATACTCATTACGTAAAGGGACCTTCCATTACGTAAGGTTTCCGTAATGACATTTTACAACTGTTACGTAAAACACACATCCATTATGTAACGATAGTTATTTCTTACGTAACACTTAAAGCATTACGTAAGGCTTTCGTAACGACTTAGCACTTTATGTAACGCGAGCTTAATACTCATTACGTAACGGGACCTTCCAATACGTAAGATTTCTGTAATGACATTTTACAATTGTTACGTAAAATACACATCCATTACGTAAAGTTTACGTAATGATAGTTAATTCTTACATAACAGTTAAATCACAAGCATTGCGTAAGACTTCCGTAATAACTTATCATTTTACGTAACACGATTTTAATACTCATTACGTAGAAGGACCTTCTTTTACGTAAAGGTTATGGAACATAGTTATTTCTTAAGTAACAATTAAATAGGAAACGTTGCGTAAGGCTTCCGTAATTATTTTATAGTTTACGTAATGCAAGCTTGGTCAGAACCTTACGTAAAATAACCGTCTATTACGTAATACTTCTGTAATGACCTTATACAACTGTTACGTAAGATTACAATAGGTTACATAACAATTACGTAATGCCTATTATATTTCACGTAATGTGACTCGTAAAACCTGCTATATCAAATAAAAAAAAATTCAAGTTTCCTTACTTCAAGTTACGTAAGAATTCTTTTGCATGAATGTTAGATTGTGAACGAAAGTCAGACACGGATTTGCATTATAGGGAACATAAAAAGAAGTAGGGGTGGCTATTTGGACCGGGACCTGATTGAAAACCGGAAACCGGACCGTATAACCCGGAACGAGACCGGACCGGGACCGGATAGTAAACAATCCAATCCAATCTTTGGGCTTAGATGTGAGGTAAAAAATCGGATAAGAGAGCTCAACACCCAAAACTTAAGGGTAATTTGCATAAACGGTCACAAACCTTTGCATTTAGTACAAAACTTAACCAACTCCTCACCCTTTAAGGCCTTAGGCCACTCAAATCCCACAATCTCAATGTAAAATCAAGACCGAATTGGGACCGAACCGGATCAAAACCGGACCGGATCAAGACCGGACTGTATCCAATCCAATCTTCGGTCCTTATATTTTCAAAAAGACCGGACTGGACCGGATCAATTTGGGCCAATTTAACCGGACCGGACCGTATAGCCACCCCTAAAAAGAAGGATCAGCCCAGATGGATTAGAAATTGGAATCATTCTTTGAAAACGAAGCAATGAATAAATTAAATGCCTAAAGGTGACAAAATAAAGTTAATAAACAGTCCTATAGTAGTAGGGTGAGCAGCATGCGCCTCTGAAACAAAAAGCTCCATTGATTTAACAGCAACAGAAGAGCCAGATCTCTATCTTGGTTGGTTTTAGCTTTATTATGCGCACAAAAGGACGTCAAAGATGTCGGACGCTAATCCCAATATTGAACTTGAACACACACCAATCCATTTTCTTTCCTTCCATCCCCACTAGTCCTGCCCTGCATCTTGGTCCGAAAACCATATCTGATGTCGAAAAAAGCGCCATCTAATTCTATCTCCAAAGACAACACTTTTTTGTGTCTTGTTTTCCTCGATCTTATATTTATGTTTCCCTTATGTATGTTTTTGTTTTGTCGTCTTGCTGTTCGTTGCTCTGTTGTGTTTCACACTGATGAACAACAGGTCAGGTATCGTCATCAGACCCATGTCTAGCAGGCTCATTACCGAGTTGCTTTTTGCAGCAACAACTGATCACCAATCCAACAACTACTGGAAAAGTGACTGTCCAAATGGTTCATTGCGCCCGATGGTATAGCACGGGCCAATGTCTAATGTCATATTTGGTTGAGCAATGGGAGAGCTAGAAATTCCAGTGACTAGAAGTAAAAAAAGATTAAGGAATTTGGATTTTAATGGCCAAGTAGGAGGTTATGGAGACTTACCAATCATTCTATTTCTCGTATCGATAGCACATTTTCTAAATATAGTTCGGAAGTTCGCGCCCTAAATTATTTATAGCACTGCTTGTGCAGTTGAATGATGATGTGTATGCGCTGTACATGGGATTTGGACCGTGATTGGGCCGGCACGGCACGGGCACGCTTCAGGCCCATTTATTTCATGTCGTGCTTGGCACGACCCGTTAGTTTTTGTGCTGTGTCATGCCATGCAAGTCTATTTGTTAACTTTGCTAGGCACAGCCTAGACTCGGGCACGGTTCAAATCGTGTCGTGCCTATCTCGTATTCGTGTTTAATGAAAAGGACGAAAACAAAAGAGAGAATGAAAAGGAGGGTGAAAATTGGACGAAGGAAAATAGTATTAACCGATAACGTTTGAAAAAAGTAACAAATCAGGGGGGAAAGAAAATTGGAAGTATAGCGAGTGTGATTTGGCTTTGTTTAATTCTTTGTCCATTTTTACTTATGTTAGTAATTACATATATATCTTTATGACACTTCTAACAACAAAAAATAATTATTTTTCTACTTGTTTTTTTTTTTTGTAATATTTGAACCTATAATTCTTTTTATATTTATTTTTTATCAAATAAATATTATTCTCGTGCCATGTCCGTTCTTGTACTCAATAAAGTCTCAAAAATATTAGGCACGACACGACCCACTTATATACCGTGTCGTGCTCGTGCTCGTGCCCATGAAGTTTAGGCCCGACACGACCCATAAATTATTCGTGCTCGTACCTGGCTTACACATTTATTTCGTGCCCGTGCTCGTGCCATGCTCTAACAGTGCCCAGTGGCGGATACATGGTGCTTTAGGGGTGTCCCGGGACACCCCTAAAATTTGGGATAACGATTAGCCAACCTTCGGTAGTAATTTCGTATGGATAAAAAAAATATAATCGATAATCCAGGACACCCCTAAAAATTGAAAAAACGATTATCTTACTCTCGATAGTAGTTTGCATATGATTTAAAAAATAGAAGTGGTAGTCTGTGATATTCAAACCTAGGGTACACTACTATTATTAAACTTATTCTACATTAGGTTATAACTCATGTGTTGTTCTATTTTAAACATTATGTAATAGTAAAAACACGATTCTTTATCCCCAGGGGGTATCCCTTATTTGAATTGACTTTATGGTAACACGGAGTGTTGAAAAAATCTTTTCAACTTTGAGTTACATCATAAAGAAGGTTGGAAATTGAATATGCGATAAGTTTATGAATTATTGTCTACTACAATATACAGATTTGTTGAGCAGTGTAGACATCGAATCTATTTTATATTTTTCCGAAATATGAAAACACATAGTGGCTTTTTTTCAAAAAAATTGTACTAATTGGATATTTTCTGATTTATGAATTATTTAATTTAATTATTTAATTATTAATTTAATTTTTGAAAGAGGACACCCCTACAAAAAAATTCTGGATCCGCCACTTATCGTGCCGTGTCGTGCTAGCCTGTGGGCGGCACGGCCCTGTGCCCACGTACAGTATACACAGACTGATATCGTTGGAGGATTGAGACCCCAGCCAATATCCGATCACATCGACCCTCTAAACTTGCAGACCAAATTACTGTTTAAAGACGAGATAATTGATAACGGATTTCAATAATGTGTAAGTTTGGAATCAGTAGTATGGGTGTTCAAACGGTTTGGTTACCGTGGTAACCGTTTTAACCAGTACTATTTGGATAATTTGGTTTGGTTAATTTGAATAATTGGTTTGGTTTGGTTAAAGTTTTTAGCTTGTTTGGTTTAGGTGGTTTGGTTTGGTTTCAGACAATCCTAACCAGTCAAACCAAATTAACCAGTTAATTAATTAGTCATATATCTAGCATATATTATATACACATACTTAATACTTTGCATAACAACTCAAGAGTTAACGTTCATCCCTTTTAGACTTATATAAAATATAAAGCTCAATATTGCTCATATAGTGTATATTTGTATATATAAATTGTAGACCACAACATATGGACGTCTAATTTAGATAAATTTCATACATTATGATGGATGAAAACTTGAAAGGAAGGTCATTTACAGTCTATAATAATTGCTAAGAGACTAAGTCAATTTACACAAACACAACAATTCATTAACTCATACCATTGTCATAAATTTTTGTTAGGTGAATACTTCTATACTAATCGTAAGATAATTGTCTTAGTTGCATGTATTTTTGTTAAGGGTCAACTATAACTACGTGTTGATTGTTATGTTTTATTCATTATATAAATTGCGAATTGTTGCATTAACCGGAAAATTTTCATCATCAATGATAATGTGATTTTATATTGGTTAATCTGGTTAACCAATTAACCAAACTGATTAAATTTTAGTTTGGTTAATTTGGTTGTTGTATTAGTTTGGACGGTTTGGTTATGATATTGTATTCTATGGTTAATGAAATTTAGCCTTATTTGGTTTGGTTATAACCATAGTAACCATTTGAACACCCTAAGCAGTAGCTAGTTATAGGCGGACGACTGATGTCAATGATTGGTCAAGAGTATCGAGCACCAAACAAGTGATGCTTTCCCTTCTTCTCCTTTTTCAGATTTTAGTCTGGTTTAGTTCTGTAAGCAAGCAAGCAAGCAGAGACTCCAAAATCATGCTTTCTCGTATTACCAAGCTTAAATCTGAGACAGAGGAATAGAAGTGAAATTGCCCCATCTCAATGGCTAAAGAAAGAATCATTCCCACCCAACAGAATATCTTTAGTTGTCTGCTTCTCTTTAGCTATAGCTGCTGCCTTTAATAAAGCCTTCACCTTTATTGAAAATTAAAAAAAAAAACCCACTCCAAATTTCAAAAGAGAAAATCCCCCATTTATAGGGGAACCTCTGTCTCTCTTCCTCTTCTCCCACACATTGCTTGTTTTCACCACTTCACTCAAAGAACCACTCTACCCAGTACTAAAACAACCCAAATTCCAGTGTCCCATAATCATTACATCCAGCAAAGAGATTAAAAAAAAAAATGGCAACCCTTCCACAACAATATGCAGAGCAGCAGCAGCCGCCGCCGCCGGCCATCGCGTACCCAGACACGGCCCACTCGAACGGCTCGTTCGGGACGGTGTTCATCGTCCTGGCGGTGATCATCGTGGTTTCGGCCGTGGCCTGCTGCCTGGGGCGGGTGTGCAGCAAGAGCAAGCACGGTGGGAAGGAACATAAACAGGGGAAGAAGAAGAAGGACAAGAACAAGCATCAGAATTCTAAGGTGGGCCAGAGCGACGATATCGAGTTCGGGTTTGACAAAGGTGGTGGTGGTGGGTTTCCTCCGATGGGCCGCCCCGTTTTGGGTAAGCGAGAAGGGCCTAATGGGCCTCATTTTAAGCAGCCTTCTGCTGCTGCTGAGAGCAATCATAATGGGCCGTATTTCCCTTACGGGCCTCCTCTTCCGCCTCCGCCGGCGAACCACCAGCAGAGTGTTCACCGCGGCGGTGTGAATGGGATGACGACGATGAACGGAGGTGGGCATCAGCAGAAGAACGGGTACGGTGGCGGTAACCATAACACTGATTTCAAAGGTTACGGTCGTTATCCCACCATGGAGTTTCATGATGGCGAGCCCTCCTAGGCGTTAATTAATGAATGGGCGATTGTTGTTTGGGGTAATTAGTGGATTTTGGGGGAATCAATGAAAGGATTTCCGATCTCAGTGGGATTAGTTTTATATGGAAAAATTGGGGATTTCATTCTTCTTGGTTGGGTCTTTTTTTTTCCCCTCTCGCTTTTAAGGTTCCTTCCTTTTTACTTTCTGGGCATCGTTAACCACTTAACCTTTGTTATTAGTTGTAGGCTTGTAGCTTAAAATGTGTAATTACAGAAGCAGAATTTGCTACTAACGGCAACTTGGTATGGAGTAAGGATCTCCTTCCCTGAGTTTTTATTTGGGGATGGCAAGTAGGTGTCAAGGGCGGGTTCGGGTTGGGTTCAATCAGGTTTGGGTTCATTGAGTTCGGGTTCATCGGATTCGGGTTAGTCGGGTTGCGGGTTCATCTAGTTCGGGTTCAATCAGGTTGCGGGTAAATCGGGTTACGGGTTCATCGTTTTGAGTTGGGCTGGTTGCGGGTTGTTTGGGTCAGCGCATCAAGTAACTTACTCCTTACTCATTACCAACTTACACATTTTATTACACTAATTTAAATATTTTTCTCAATTGTAACCAATTTCTTTCTAACTCGTATATATACTTAATTTAAAAAAAAACTAGTCAAAATGTTGAATCAATTTATATGACTTGCAAACTTGTTATGTAATTAATCGTAATTGGTAAAGTACACTAGCAAATAGTAATGGTTATATCAACATTTGCAACCAAAAGACACCATTAATTATTTCTTTGGTATTTTAATATTATTTCAGTGGCAATTGGATTAGAGAATCTCGTTTAATATAACCATGCAAACCTTGTATTTAACGTGTGTTATTTGGCAAAATCATAGTGGTAAAAGGATTTATTTCGAAATAACTCATTGCCCTAATAACTTCAGTAAACTGTTGTCAAACGAGTTATTTGTAAAATTGTTCGAATTACCCTAAAATTGAACTATTAAAGATTAACTATCAAATTTAGTAAAATTGGTGTGACTTCAATCATAACTTACACAATAACATATATCATATACACTAAGTCTTACTCTCAATCGACAATATTAAGTTAATATATGGTGTTGATCGTATACCCTAAACCATCAATATATTATACACTAACAACATATCCTATACCCTAATCATATATCCATATGAGTTGTGATTTTGCTAGTAAGTTAATTTAAAGTGAAACTCGTACTTTGATTTTCGAAAGATAGGTAAAAAAGTGATATTTGCTATACTCTAACCATATATCTTATACTCTACACCATACACCCTGTACTCTAACCACGTAACATGAACATAAATTAAAAAGGGATCTCCTGTCATTAAAGATTTTAAATGACTTCAAGTGAACATATGTTAATAAAAAAACTTAGAACCGTCAAAACCATCAATACCTTATACCCTAACCATATACACCCTAAACCATCTGTACCTTATACTTATATCCTAACCATATACTTTATACCCTAAACAAAAAACGTCAAAAATTATTATCAAGTTTAGTATAATTGTTGGCTCATATTCACCCGCCCATAAATTCTCCATTCCAAAGTTCTCATCCAAACAACCCTCTCATTTTCCATTCCAAAGTGACCCGCACTCGATTAACCAAAATTTTCAAACC